ATGCCAAACTTTATCCTGGACATTCCATTGCCGGCTCTCCACTTAGGCATCCTAGTGAACATCTTGTTTTTATTTTCAGGGACATTTCATGCTGAAAAATGGATACCATGTCACCTACGTCCTTCTATAATCAAATCCAACAAATCTACCTGAAGTTTATTAAAAAACCATACAGAGGACCCAAGAAGAAGTAAAGATCAGAAAAAGGCAAAAGGGAAAAAAAAATCTACAGTTTATAATCTAAACCATGTAGAGCTATTGTTTTGACTAACAATTTACAACACTTTGAAAATTTAAAGCACCATGCAAACACCACAGTTCTTATAGGACATGTAAGCTCAATGGGATTCAAATAAGTTCATGAGAAAAAGTAAGGCTGAGAATCCATCGAATAAACTAGGCAGAAAGCAATTATTAAAATGGGTGACCTATTCCCTCACTGGAATATCAGACTTGGTCGTGCTCATTCCATCACTTTTCAACTGTGCAGAGCCAACTTCTCTTAGCTGGGCTTCCTTAGAGGCAGGAGCTTGGGACAAGTGAGAAATTTGTGAGTTATGAGCAATACTTGCAACACCACTGACTAAAAGAAGCTTGTAACTGTTACATGCTCTCTGAAATCTGGTATATCAACCCCCTAAGGCAATCAGGAGTCTTGAAAAGGCAAAGGTTGAAAAAAAAAATGCCATGATATGTGAGCGTGTGGCAGAATTTCAAGATCCATCATTAATGATGTTTTCTGGGCTAAGGAAGAGAGAAATCAGACCCTTGATAGTTTTAGTTAAAATATACAGATCTTTCGATGCCTGGGTAGCTCAGTCGATTAAACCTCTGCCTTCAGCTCAGGTCGTGACCCCAGAGTCCTGGGATTGGCCCAGCTTTGGGCTCCCTGCTCAGGGAGGAGTCTGCCTCTCCCTCTCCCTCTATCCCTCCCCCAACTCTTGCGCAGGCGCACTCTCTCTCCCCAATAAATAAAGTCTTTAAAATATATATATATATGTATATATATATATATACACACACACACACACACACATACAGATTTTAAGAACTAACATTGGGAGAGGAGGATGTGAAAAACAAGGAGAGGCAGAAAAGGAAATAATTTTTAAGAAGAGATTAATTGTGGTACCATGTTCATGACAAATACTATCAGTGTTCAGAGGGAAAGAAAGAAACTATGTGGCTTTTTGGGGTATCATTCATGTAAAACATTCTTACAAGGGCATAATGACATAATAAGGATGCCTGGCTGGCTCAAATGACTCTTAAACTCTAGATTTGATTTAATATCTATTTTTTTTTAAAAGAAAACAAATAAAATCCATCCCAAAGTATTTGTGGAAAATCATCTGACAATGTGTTTCCCCATCTATAAAATGACCTGTTTGGCCTGAATATCTCCAGTGTCCCTTTTAATCAAACACTGTATATTTTGCTTTGAATGGTGAAATCAAAACATATACACTAATTCACTAAACAATTATCTACTAATTTATATGTTGGCATTATGCCATCTCTGGAAGCATCGTGGGGAACAAAAAAAATAACATTCTTCAGTCACCAAGCTAATTGTCAATTGGGAAAGTCAAGGGTGGGGCACTGCTTGTTCTAACCAATAATCTCTACAAGAATAATGAAAATGTAACTGTTAGGACAAAGGATTGCCTCTATTTGAGACAGACAAGCTCCCTTTGTTGTTGTTTTGCTGTTAAAGCAGGAAAGTTCCCTGCCCCCACCAATTTCTTTGTAAAATAAACAAGATCTAAATCACAGCACTTCAGTGAGATTCTAAGATCTCTGAAATCACATGGTTGTCTGTTTGCTCCCAGGATGCTGGCATGGTCTTAAAATATTGCCTCTTAAATAAACATTCCAAATGGAAGCATGAGGGTCCCCACTAGACATGATCATTTTGTCGACTTTTTACCAAAACCAAAACCATAACCAAAAAAAACCCCAAACCTTATTGACCATATAGGTAAAAAGGGAATGAAGTTCTGAGCTGGGCACATACTTTTCTTTAATCTCTGCAAGAGCCCTGCAAGGGAAGTAAGTAACGTTCTCCCTTCTTCCCAGAGGAGAGATCAGGTTCAGAGAGGGAAGTAATTCAGTTAAAGTCAGGTTGCCAGAAAGTAGTGAAAAGGATTAAAACCCAAGTTCTTTTGACTCCAAATGACCATATTCTTTTCACGACACAATGTTTCCTCCAGTAAGGGAAAGCTTTGAGGCCATGTTTACCAAGGTCCATCCTGGGGAACACCAATGAGGCCAGATGATCCAAGAGCATAAATGGAGTCCACGGTCAAGTAACTTTGGGAAATGCCAAGCCTATTAAAGGCTGTGAGGTAATATGTAAAAGAAATGTTTGATTTTATTTAATCAGTTTTTCCCCAAACTCATTTGACTAGCAAATCCAGATTTTTTCCCTCATTTAGTACTTATTAACATCTCTTGGAACTAACAAATAATTTGCCATATGCTTAAATGACTGAAAAAGAGGAAAAAGGGTTGAACGAGAGCATTAAAGTGAAAATTCACTTTTCGAATGGAATTTAAATAAACAACTAGCAGTTATGAGGGTAGCGATACAGGGGCGCCTGGGTGGTTCAGTTGGTTAAGCGACTGACTGCCTTCAGCTCAGGTCATAATTCCAGGGTTCTGGGATCGAGCCCCGCATTGGGCTCCCTGCTCGGCCAGAAGCTGGCTTCTCCCTCTCCCATTCCCCCTGCTTGTGTTCCCTCTCATGCTGTCTCTCTCTCTCTGTCAATTAAATAAATAAATAAAATCTTAAAAAAAAAATGTGAGATATAGTCTGCTCTCAGGTTGACGGGGGTAATGGGAGGGGGATGGAGGGAGTTGGAGGCAAACAGGGAAACAGACATAAAATCACAGCATATTTTCAGGGCAAGTTCTTAGTAATGAATGTGGGTTAAAGTTGAAGAGAAGTTTTGGGAGAGAAAAGAGGCTTGAGCTGGACCCGAGGGATATTGAGATTTAGACAGGGGAGAAGCTGGGAGACACTGAAAGGCAGAAATATGTTTGGAGGATAGTTGATGTGGGATCATCGAGCACAACGGTCAAGAATTCCTGAGACCTTTTTGGTGCAAAAGGTGTTTTTATTAGAGCGCGGGGACAGGATGTGTGGGCAAAAAGACCTGCACTGTGATTGTGAGGAGTGACTGATCATATAGGGTCTTCTATCCTATGGAGGTGAAGGGGACATTAGGGCTCCAGGAAACTGAGTTTATAGGTTCCTGGAGGTCTATTATTAAGATTGTGTTTTTCTTGTAAATCATTAAGACATTACAAACTGTAGTGGAGTTTCAAGTCCTATATGACTGTGATCTTTATCAGTTGACCATTTATTTTTCCTTTGCCTTGTTCTTAGGCAGTTACTAGTGCCTGAGGAATATCTGATATATATATATCAGATGCGGGTCTGTGAGGGGTTTCAGCTCATGTTTTGCCCTCGGTTTGCCTTTTGCTTTCTCATCAGAGTGAAGAAAGGATCCTCAGAACTACGGAGGGAAATAAAATAGGACAGGTAGGATTGGTCCAGATTATAGATAACCGTACAGAAACCATTCTGCTGGTAATGATGAAAGGAAAGAATAAAATCTGATTTAGAAAGTTGATTAATCTGTAATAATAAGTATGAGGAGATAGACTTTTGAATTTTACAACTAGCAGGCCCTTAGAGAAAAGTTAACAGGCGTATGTGTAACGAGTCAATTCTCTAATCCAGTCCCCCTTGCTCTAAAGCTAACTGAAGCCCAGAGAGGTCACTTGATTTTCCTAATGTCACACAGCTTTAGGAGCAGGATACCAAAGTTAAGAACTCAAGAAGTTCAGGACTCATGGATTGAGCATAAAATGGTGCCAAAGAAAGTAAGTGTAGGATGGGAAGCAAGGCTACGACATAAATCAGCACATTTGCCAGAGGGATTTCTGTTTGAAACGGTCTATTTAAAATAATTAAGACAAACAACCAAAACCCCTTTTAACTCTGCTGCCGCAGCTTAGCCCAGTACCTTTGCAAATATGCTGTTACATTTAGATGTTGCTGTCAATAAAGAAACACAAATTACAGAAAAAAGGAAATTACATTTTAAAAGGTAGCATATCTCAAAAAAACATACGGGAGAGGGTAACAGAAAAGGACAGACCTTCCTGAAAACAGAAGCGGCCTGCTACAATCTTCCCTCTACCTTACGTTAATAATCCTTTTATTTGGTATTTACTATCAGGGACATAATTGACATCTATTTGTTTGAAACGCGTTTGGTGCTGGGACTAGCTTCAAAGATACTAACAACAAATTAAAGAAATTCCTACGGCGACCAAAATGGGAACTGATTCGGGGTAAAACTAGGAAAAAGATTCGACTAGGCGGCGTGACACCGGTGGCCACGAAAGCAAGCGCGGGTATTTAAAAATATGTAAGAGGAAGAAAAACGTTTCCCCAGTAGGCCCACCTTGGGCTCGAAGAGTCGGAGCGCAGGGAACGAAAACCACCGAGCGCACACGCGCCTGCCACGGGGACAGTGACCACCCCATGGCCGCCAGTGGACAAGGTTACAGGCTAACGTGGCGGCATTCTCCGGCACCGCCAGGCAGGCGGATCCCGGCTGCCACTGCCAGAGACTATCACCCCGGACTCCGCGCGAATACGCGCGCCCGGCCGCCACAGCGGGGTGGAGCGAAAAGCATCGCGGGACTTGTAGTTTCACCCAGCCCCGCCCCAGCAGCTCTTTGGAGACGGCGAGATTCTGTTTTATGTAAATGACCCGCCGGTGCCAAGCAGGCTTCCCTTCCCTCCCCCCACCTTCTCCTGCGAGAGTTTGAAAATTCCCGCGGAGCCGGCGCCTAGGCCCGAAAGACTCGCGAGAACTGAGGTCTCCGAGCCGCGATCTCCTTTCCGGCCGCTGCCCTCCCTCCGCGCCCTCCCTCCGCACCCCGCCCCTCCCCACCCCTCCCCCGCTTATAAGGTTGGGTCGGTCCGCCCGGGGGAATGCTTAAAGCAGGCTCGGCGCTGTCTGAGTGTGGGAGGCAGAGTCGTGGGAAGGAGGACCCGGAACCGCGGCGCAGGCAGCGGCGGCGTCGGAGTTGCCGATTTGTGCGCCGACCTGCAGCCGGCGGAGGTGCCCCGGGCGCTGTGGGTCTGCGGCGGCCGGCGAGGTCGCGGGCGGAGGCTGGAGGTGTGGCGGCAGCAGCGGCGGCGGCGTGCGCGCCCTGCCTGTGGCGGCCGTGTCTCCCGGGAGATGCTGTGACGGACCCGCGCGGGAGGAGCTCGCGTGCGGCCTTGCGACCCCTGCACTCAGCGGTCGGGGCGGTCAGCCGCCCGCCCTGCGCAGGTAGGGGAAAGGCGGTAGGGGCCGGGCGGGCGCTCGAGGGCGGGTCCGCGCGGCCTGGGCCGCAGGGCCGCGGGCCTCCACGCGCGGGGCCGGGGACCGGGGGCCGGGGCGCGCGGCGCGGGGGCGGGGGCCGGCGGCCGTGCTCGAGGGGCCGGGCGGGCGGGCGGACGCGGTTGGCGGCGGGGGTGGCGCGCTCAGGGGGGCCCCCGGGTAGAGGATTACATAACCCCCGACCGGCGGCACATGGCGGCGGAGAGGCGTTGCGGGATCCGCCTTCCGCGCCGTCGGCCCGGCCCGCGGCGTGCCCTGGGCGCCGTGCTCCGGGGCGGTGGAGACCTTGGCCGGCCTGGCGCCGGGCGAGCCCGCTGGGCGGTGGAGCCGGTCTTCGGTCGGCGTGTGCTCCACATGCTCCTGGGCCTGGCTCGGGTGAGTCCGCGTCACGGGAGGGGTCGGGCTCGGGATTGGAGAGTGCGGCGAATTGGTCAGCACGTCTTGGGGTGGCTGTTAATTCGCCTTCCCGGTCCCCCCCGGAATTTGAGGGCGATCACTTTTGTTACTAGTTGAGTGCTGGGCTGTGGGGAAGGTTAGTTTGTTCTCAGCGCCAAAGAGGTCCATGCTCGCTGTTACCTTTTTTCAAATTGGCCGTTTGAGAAGTATTTGGGAGAACCTGGACCCTTTAGGATAAAATATAGACCTCTTGGAAACTTTAAGCTTCAGTTTATTCTCAAAATATCCTAAAGAGTCAGTAGATTTTAAGAACCTTTCGTGAGCTTTGACCGACTTGGTCAGAGACCAGGGAATGACAAGCCCAGTTCAAGTTAATGCTGGAGGGATGCTCCAAGTGCGTTAAACGCTATGGGAAGTGTGCATTCTCTTCATAACTGTAATTTTTTATTCTGTTTTTCAGTAACCTATGAAAGTGTCACCAGGTCGCAAAACAGCCAAAATTATTTTAAAGATTGTTCTGTAGCAATTTGGGGATGGACACATCTTGATTTAAGAGGAAATAGAACATTGTTCCTTTCTCTCCTGCTGACCATGAAAATTTTCAGCACCTCCTAATTTTTGTTCAGAACGAAGTCTAATTCTCCTAGGGTTAGGTCAACAGTCTCCACGAGAAGTCTCTTCTGTCCGTACTCAACTACTCACAAATTTATGCTTTGCCTACCTATTCCAGAATCTTCCCCATGCCTGGGCCCATTTTTCTTGAAGATGTACTTTGGTGGTCCTTTGCTCATGGCCTTCAGCCTGGAGCGCCATCCCTGCTTTATTCAAGTTATGAAATTTCAAATCCTCCTCAGCTTAAATGCCATGTTTTCTAGTCATTCTTCCATTTCCTTTTATCCCACATTATTTATACCACTGTTGTAGCATTTATTTGTGTCTGATATTCTAAGGGTTTGATTACGTATCTCCTTCTAGAAGGTAAACTCTTTGAGGTCAGAAAGTGGGTCATCTTCGTGCCCTTGCATTCCCTGCCCAGCACAATGTTTTAAAAGTACTTGGAGATTAATAAATGTTTGAATTAAGTTTGAAAGAGCAGCTACTAAAAGGCTGGAAGTTTCCGAGTCCCCTGACAGCTTACATGTGCATCATAATTCTCAGTCTTTTTAAGAGTCACAAAAAAAGTAAAAATGCGTACAAAATATTCTGTAGAAATGTTTGTTCAATGTTGTTACAATATAGTTATTGAACAACTAGGTGAGGTTTTATTTACTGTGGTGGAATTCAGCTGCTTTCGAGGATGTGTGTAATTTCCCACAGAACTGATTCGTGGTATTCTGTGTTATAAAATCTTTCCTAGTAGTTTTGTGAATTTTGTTTTGCATCTTAGTACTGAGACAATATATATTTAAAAATAAGTTGGACCCAAAACTGGCCAGTATTGAGATTTTTCTTTTTAATAGACTTTATTTTTTAGAGCCATTTTAGGCTCACGGCAGAGTTGAGTGGTGGGTACAGAGAGCTCTAGTATACACTTTCCGCGCTCCCACTCATGCATAGCTTCCCCCCCATTATCAACATTCCCCACTAGAGAAGAATATTTGTTACAAATGTTGAACCTACATGGACACATCATTATCACCACAGTCCATAGTTTACATTAGGGTTCAGTCTTGGTGATGTGTATTCTGTGGGTTTGGACAGATGTATAATGATACATAGCTACCATTATAGTGTTATCAGAGTACTTTCACTGCCCTAGAAATCCTCTGTGCTCTGCCTAATCATCCCTTGCTTACTGCTAACCCTTGGCAACCACTGATCTTACTGTCTCCATAGTTTTGCTTTTTCCAGAATTGTCATGTAGTTGGAATCATGCAGTATGTAACCTTTTCAAATTGGCTTTTTTCACTTAGTTATAATTCTAATTCCTCCATGTTCTTTCATGGCTTAATAGTTCATTTCTTTAAAGTTTCTGTTTGTTTGTTTTAAGTAATCTCTATGCCCAATGTCAGGACCCTGAGATCAAGACACATGCTCGACTGTCTGAGCCAGCCAGGGGCCCCTCGCTCATTTCTTTTTAGAGTTGAGTAAGTATTACATTGCCTAGACGCTCTACCATTTATTTAGCCACTCACTTACAGAAGGACATGTTAGTTGTTCACAGATTTTAATAGTTATGAGGAAAAGCTGTGATAAGATCTATGTGCCGTTTTTTGTGTGGACATATTTTCAGCTCCTTTGGGTAAACACCAAAGAGTGTGATTGCTGGATTGTATGGTAAGAATATGTTTAGTTCTGAAAGAAACTGCCAACTATCTTCCAGAGTGGCTGTACCATTTTGGATTCCCACCAGCAGTGAAGGAGGGTTCCCGTTGCTCCACATCCTCACCAGCATTTGGTGGTGTCAGTGTTCCGGATTTGGGCCGTTCTAAAAGGTGTGCAGTGGTGTCTCATTGCTTTGATAATGCATTTCTCTGATGACATATGAAATGGAGCTTCTTCTCACGTGCTTATTTGCTATCTGTGTATCCTCTTAGTGTTTGCTAAGGTCTTTGGCCATTTTTTAATTGGGTTGTTTGTTTTCTTGTTGACTTTTAAGAATATTGAGTTTTTAAAAATTGATTTTATTGTTTAACATGTCTATTTCTGTTCCCTGTTAGTAGTATCTTTGCTGTCCTAATTTACCATGTTTTGGATCTATTAGTTGCAAGGCATTGTGACTCTGGAATTCACAGGAACAAGACATGATTTTTGCTTTTTAGGAATTAATACTAAAGGGGGGAAGACAGACAAACACAAGTAACAAGTTTCAAAAATAATATTTATGATTGCTAACCTAAAGGTGGAAAGGAGTGAGCTCAGAGATAAGATTAAGTGGGAAAAGATTGGTCTACCCAGGCCACACTGGGAATTTAGGGGTATTCACATTTTCTAGAAGCTTGGGTGTGACACGAAGACAGAGTAGAAAAGTACAACATTACATGTACTAGTAAGTGGTAGAACCTGGACTTAGAGCCATTTTAATTCGAAGTTCGTGCTTTTTCTAGTACTCTGGATGGAACCTGCGATTATTGTTCGACTTGCTGTTTCTCAGACACTAAGAGTTTTGAGAAGTTCTTTTTCCTCTTGAAAAAGGAACAGTTTGCAAACACTGCTCTAATTCTGGTGGAACTAAAGGGATCAATTCCTTTAGTTATGTAGAAGCTAAGTCTAATTAACTTGCAGGACCAAGAAATGAATTATAATTATTATCCTAATCCTAAGAAACAATTGAATAAAGAGGAGAGATGGGGAGATGAACACAGAGGAGCACTTATGAGGAAGCTATGGTTTCAGCATTTCATTTTTGTGCATCAAGCATTTTACCATATGATAAGCATTTAGTATTGGTTGAATGAATTAAGAAATAGACTAAGAATTAATAAACTGATTATCCGTGGAATGTAAGAGGTTAAACAGGATCACTAACGAAGTTAGCAGCTTCAAGGATTCAAAGTTCTAGAGTCTTTAAGTTTAATTTTTAAGTTTCTAAGGATAGCACTAACTTAACATCGTTATAATGTTAACCTTTTGTGGAAATACTGGTCACAGGACACTGTGTACCTGGGGTTGCTATAAAGAAGCAACTATTGGGCATGCTTGGAGGCATGGTGTTGACGTGGCTGCAAACTGTCTTATTACCGGTCTGAGGTGGAAGGCATCAGCTAGAGCAGAAGTGACAGAGCTTTGGAGATGGATGGCTGCACCCTGAATATACCTGTTCAGAAGTCTCTCTGTGTTGTGGACTTGTGACTGGGCCTAGCAGAGAGAAAATCATGGATCAATTTAGGACAAGTACTTTTATAGAGAAGTTGGACCACAAGTGTGCCTGAGAACCGGATAGTGGACCCCTTCCCCAGAAGACCAGCACAACCCGCCCCCAACCACATACACCATGTCTACTGACCACAGTGCTGCAGAGCTTCAGCTCCAGTGGAAACGGCATCAGGTCTCTTTTAACAAGCAGACCAGAGCACACCTAGTTAAAACTTGCCACACACTGCCCACTGCAGGCAAGGAGGTACTCTGCAGAGGACTAACCTGAGGGAAAGCACAGTGCACGCAGCATACGCCAGGATACTGCCTGAAGTGCCAGGCCCTGGATGGTATATGACCTCTTAATAAAACCATTACTCTTGGGAAGAAGAAACATAACAGGCCTTCCTAACACACTGAAGACAGAGACTTAGACAGAATGCCAAGATGGAGGAATTGATTCCAAAAGAAAGAACAAGAAAAGGTCACGGCCATGGATCTAATTGAAACAGAAGTACTATGCCTGAGCCAGAATTTAAAGGAACAATCATAAGGATACTACCTGGGCTTGAGAAAAGCATAGAAGACACCAGGGAGTCCTTTACTACAGAGATAAAAGACCTAAAAACTGTTCAGGCCACAATGAAAAATTCAATAACTGAGACTTGAAATTGACTGGATATAATGACAAGGATGGAAGAAACAGAGGAACGAATAAGTGACATAGAAGATAAAATTATGGAAAATAATGAAGCTGAAAATAACAGGAAAAGAAAAATTTTAGATCATGAATGTAGACTTAGGGAACTTGTGACTCTATAAAGCGTGATAACATTCCTATCATAGGAGTCTCAGAAGAAGAAGAGAGGGCAAAGGGGGCAGATGTTTGAAGAAATTATAGCCAAAAACTTTCTAATCTGGGGAAGGAAACACATCCAAATCCAGGAGGCACAGAGAACTCCCATCAGAATCAATAAAAGTGGGCCAATGCAAAGGCATATTGTAGTTAAATTTGCAAGATACAAGAAAAAGTTCTAAAAGCAGCAAGAGAAAAGATGCCTCTAACTTCCAAGGGGAGACATATCAAGTTAGCAGCAGATCTCGCCACAAAAACTTGGTAGGCCAGAAGGGAGTGGCATTGATATGTTCAACCTACTGATTGGGAAAAATAGACAGCCAGGAACACTCTATCCAGCAAGGCTGTCATTCAGAATAGGAGGGAGAAGGAATTTCCCAAAGAAATACCAAAGGAGTTCGTGACCACTGCAAGAAATATTAAAGGGGACTCTGAGTGGAAAAGACCAAAAGCAACGAAGACTAGAAAGGAGCAGAAAATCTCCAGAAACAGACTTAACAAGTAATACAGTGGTACTAAATTCATATCTATCAATAATTACTCTGAATGTAAATGGACTAAATTCTCCAAAGGACATAGGGTGTCAGAATGGATAAAAAAATAAGACCCATGTATATGCTGCCTGCAAGAGACTCATTTTAGACCTAAAGAGACCTTCAGATTGAAAGCAAGGGGATGGAGAACCATTTATCATTGCTAATGGACATCAAAAGAAAGCTGGATTAGCCATCCTTATATCAGACAAACTAGATTTTAAACCAAAGACTGTAACAAGAGGTGAAGAAGGGTACTATATCATAAGGGGTCTATCCAACAAGAAAATCTAAAAATTGTCAATATTTATGCCCCCAACTTGGGAGCACCCAAATATTTAAAACAATTCATAACAAACATAAAGGAACTCAATGATAAAAATACAGTAATAGATAAAAATACAGTAATAGTAGGGGACTTTAATACCCCACTTACAGCAATGGACAGATCTTCAAAGCAGAAAATCAACAAGGAAACAATGGCTCTGAATGACACTGGACCAGGTGGACTTAACAGATATATTCAGAACATTTCATCCTAAAGCAGCAGAATACACATTCTTTTCAAGTGTGCGTGGGACCTTCTCCAGAATAGATCACATGCTAGGTCACAAATCATGCCTCAACAAGTACGAAAAGATTGAAATCAGGGGCGCCTGGCGGGCTCAGTCGGTTAAGCATCCGACTTTTGATCTCAGCTCAGGTCTTGATCTCAGGGTTTTGAGATCAAGCCCTGCACTGGGCGTGGAGCCTGCTTAAGATTCTCCCTTTCCCTCTGCCCCTCAACCCCCACTTGTGCTCTCTCTCTCTCTCCCTCTCTTTCTCTCTCTCTTTCTTAAAAAAAAAAAAAATTGAGATCATACCATGGGTATTGTCCATCACAATGCTGTTTGTCTCCCCCCCCCCCTTTTTTTTTAAAGTAGGCTCCACACCCAACATGGGGTTTAAACTCACGACCCTGAGATCAAGAGGCACACCGACTGAGCCAGCCAGGCACCTCTCCAATCACAGCACTATGAAACTTGAAGAAAACCACAAGAAAAAAACTGGAGAGACCACAAATACATGGAGGTTAAAGAACATCTTACTAAAGAATGAATGGGTCAGCCAGGAAGTTAAAGAAGAAATAAAAAAAAATATGTGGATACAGTGTATACTTGGAACCTCTACACTTGAAAACATAAAAGGGTGGTTTACCCCACAGTCCATACAGCTCTGGGTTCTGTTTCTGATGGGTTAATGCAACAGATATTCATTTGTTGAATTTGTTTTGACATAACGTAACAGTAGTAATAAAATTCTACCCCCTGATAAATTCAAAATAGCAAATGTTTCACACAACATTCTACTTCCTTTTATTTTAGGAGGTTTCTACCCCAGACGTGGGGCTAGAACTCATGACTCCAGACTCAAGAGTCGCATGTTCTAGTGACTGAGCCAGCCAGACGCCCTTACTTCCTTTTGTTTTAGATTAATTTTGGATTTATAAATTTTACCTTTAAGGTTTTCCCTCAAATTAGGCTGCTCTTTTACACTTTAAAAATTCTTAAATTTTGGAATTTAGTGATTAAGTCAAATGGCTCTGTGCACCCTCCGAGATCATGATTCTTGTCCCTTGAGTTTTCTCTTTCTAGACCATTGAGTACCCCCCGCCCCAAAAGCTTTTTTATTTCCATATGTCAGTTTTCACCTTCAACATCATTATCTTTTGGGGTTAGCCATTGAAGCAGGGTTTTTTTCCCCCTCAAAAAACAGTGTTGTATGCTGCGCTTCTCAGAACGATAGTACCAGGGATACAAAGATGAGGCAGGGTGCCCGAAACTATAGGACAGACATGGTGTCAGTTTTACCTGAAGATTTAAAGTCTAATTAATGCCCAGTACATAGAAGTTGCTGCATAGATTATAGCTTCCTTCTCCTCACCACTCATTTTGGGGTAGGGGATGCTTTCAGATTTTTAATCCATCTATAATTTCCCATTCCTTTTGTGTTTTTTGTTTTTTTTTTTAGATTATTTATTTATTTGAGAGAGAGCGCGCACATGAGAGGAGGGAGGGTCAGAGGGAGAAGCAGACTCCCTGCTGAGCAGGGAGCCCAATGCGGGACTCGATCCAGGGACTCCAGGATCATGACCTGAGCCGAAGGCAGTGGCTTAACCAAGTGAACCACCCAGGTGCCCTATAATTTCCCATTTCTGTATCATACTGAGGAAGAGTTTTTTTTCTTCCCAGCAGGGATGGCTAAATTATCCCAGAACATTATTAAAAGTTCATAATTTTCCATCTGGTATCATTTTCATAGCGATTTGAAATGTAATTTTTGTCTTAAGTGGAATAGTTAATTCTCTGGTCTCTTGCTGTCATTGATCTATTTCTAAATACTATGTTGATTTTTTTTTTTTAAGTCTTCTTAAAGAACCAGCTTTTTGTTTTATTATTTTTAACTATGATTTTTCTGTTTTGTTTCATTAAATTCAGTTCTTTTATTTTTTCTGTTGATGGTGGGTTTGTTCCTTTTCTAGTTTCTTAAGGTGGAAGCTTAGGTTACTGATAGGAGATCTTATGGATGTTTAGTGCTATGAATTTCCCTCTAAGCACTGCTTTAAGCTGTATCACACAAATTTTGGTATGTCATATTTTCATTTTCATTCAGTTCAAAATACTCTTCTTCCTGAACATTCCTTGTACTGCATATCTGCTGGTGACCATCTTTTTCAGCTCTTGTATGTCTGAAAGTTATTTTGCCTTCATTTTTAAGTGATTTTCACAGGGTATAGAATTCTAGGTTGACACCTTTTTTTTCTTTCATAACTTAAAATATATTCCACTGTCTTCTGGCTTGCATTGTTTTCCACGAGAAGTCTCTTGTCATTCTTGTTCCTCTTTGCAGTATGATACTTTTAAGATTTTCTCTTTGTCCCTTGCATATGCTGTATTTTGTTCCAATTTTAGCATGTGTGCTGCTGAAGCGAGCACAAGTATGATGTATTTTGGTGGTGTTTCTTCATGTTTCTTGTGCTTGAGATTTATTGGCCTTTTTGATTTGTGGGTTTATAGTTCCATCAAATTTGGAAAATTTTGGCCATTAGTTTTTAAATATTTCTGTTTTTTTTTTTTTTTTTTTTGGAGATTGCTGCCCTATATTAGGGCACTTGATATTGTCCCATAGCTCACTGATGCTCTGGTCTTTTCCTTTCTGCCTCAGCCTTTTTTTTTTCTTTGTGCTTCGTTTTAGATAGTTTCTACTGTGGGTATTTAGGTTCAGTAATACTTCTGGTGTCTATGAATCCCATTCAGTATTTCTCATCTCTAGAAGTTTGATTTGGTCTTTTTTGTGTCTTCTGTGTCTTTTCTTAACATGCTATGCTTTCCTCTATGTTCTTGGACATAGGGATTATAGCTAGAATAACTGATTTAATGTCCTCATCTAGTAATTCAAACTTCTATGTCATTTCTAGGTTTGTTTTTAATGGTTGTTTTTTTCTCCCCCTTATTTTGGGTCATATTTTTCACTTGTGCATGCCTGGCAACTTTTGATTGGATGCCAGATACTACGAATGTCACTTTCTTTTTTTTTTTTTTTTTAGATTTTATTTATTTATTTGAGACAGAGGGAATGAGAGACAGAGAGCATGAGAGGGAGGAGGGTCAGAGGGAGAAGCAGACTCCCTGCCGAGCAGGGAGCCCGATGCGGGACTCGATCCCGGGACTCCAGGATCATGACCCGAGCCGAAGGCAGTCACTTAACCAACTGAGCCACCCAGGCGCCCCTGTCACTTTCTTTAATACTGAATATTTTTGCATTCCTTACATATTCTTAAGCTTTGTTCTGGGGTGCAGCTAAGTTATTTGAAAACAGCTTGATTCTTTTGAGGCTTGCTTTTTCAGACAAGACCAGAATGACCTTTAGAAAAGGGCTAATTTTGGGGCACCTAGGTGGCTCAGTCAGTTAAGCATCTGCAGGTATTTTTTGCTCCTTTTATTATTTAGTATTATACTGTGACATTTGTCCATACTGTTGCATATGCTGCAATTCTCATTACTCCATTGAGGTCTTTTCCCCGTTGAGTTCTAAATTTTACTTATTTTTCATTCCAGAAGTTCTGTTATTTTTTTTAAAAATCTACTTGACCATTTTTCATTATAATTTTTAAGGTTTCTTCCTTATTAGCAAGCTAAATCTTTGATTTATTTACCATATTAAACGTATTTTCTGTTCTCTGATCATTTTCAATATCTGAAATCTTTGATAGATTGATTCTGCTGGCTGTTGATCATAGTATTCTTGTTACAGTTTGTTATTTTGACTGTGAGTCATTTTCTTTGAGAACTCTTTGCGATTCCAGAGAATATTTGGTGGTGTCTGTGGGTTATGTGGAGCATAACCAACCTGAGAATAATTTATAAAACATTCTTCCCTGAGTGTTGTCAGATAACATAGCTTGAATTGTGGCCACCAATTTGTATGAAGGGAAATACTCTTTTTCTAAGTAGACACTTCCAGTCATGGCCAAAATGGGCAGCATTATTGCTCCCTGTCCTGCACAATGGGTGTTTCACTGATTTTTATGCTGATGGTATAGCCTTATGGAGTTGAATGGCATGGGGAGGAGGCCCGTCTTAGCTTGCCTTGGCTCTGTTAGTCCTTAGCTTTTTCTTCTGCCTCTGTGGATCTCAAGAGTCTCAAGACAAAATCAAGAGTCACCACCCCTGGATTTGGTAACAGCCCTTGAGGCCAAAGCCAGCTTAGAGGTTTCCAAAATTCCTGCTGTCTCTTCATGTTTGGCTTTATCAGTTCATTCAAAAAAGTTTTTTAACCATCATTTTTGGTTGTTTACAATAGGAGAGTCATTCCAGGAATTTAATCTGCTATATATTGGAGTGAAAGATAAATTTCAATTTTTTTTTTCCTCTATCCATTTAAAGACACATCCCAGATGTGATTCCGGAGGTTACTCTGTGTTTGGACATTTTTTATGGGCTTTCTTCCCTTTTACTGTAGCAGTAATTTTTCTAAAATGCATCAGTTCTCCCTGTTTGTGGGTGAAGAGTTCTTTGAGAGTGGGTCAGGCCATAAGATAAATTGCATTGAACCAGTTTTCAAACAAGCTAGGGAATCATGTATATCCTTAGGACATCTGGCTTAATAAATTTACACTCTCCTAAAGCTGTTGGGAAATATATTTTTAGGTGGGAATACCTCAGACCCAGAAGCACATAAAACGGGTTTTATAATCAGATTTTAGTTTGAGCTTATTTACTTTTGTGTGCTGGCTAGAGATAATCAAGTATATTATAGTACAAATATATCATAATAATGTTATCTTTTAAAAATACTTACAGTGAAAGTATGCGAGGCTTAACAGCAAAAGTGACTAGTGGTCTTCTGCCCTTGCCAGAAGTGAGTCTTCAGGCCCTGGAAGATGAAGTCACAGTGGAATCTGTGCTTCATGGAAAGATTGCTGCAGGTACAGTAATGTTGCTGAAAACTTACTGATTCGATTGATTTGTAAGCTAGTAATGAGCATGTATTGTAATTTCCTTTAATGTGGAAGAAAAAAAGAATAGTTATAGTGGTCTTATATAACTATAAAACATCTACAACTACTTATATAATAACATCTGTATACTCTCGAACACATTTTCAGTGAATCTTGGGGTGGTTATTGTTCATTTTTCCTTATTAAAAATACTGTATACTTTGTATCTTTTAGTGTTGGATATTTATATTTAGGAAGTAGAAATAATACACAGCTGTTTTTTTTTTAAGAGAGGGAGTGAGTGTGCGGGCATGCACCAGCCAAGGGGCGGGGGAGGGAGGAGCAGAGAGAGAGAGAGAGAGAGAGAGTCTCAAGCAGGCTCCACATCCAGTGCAGAGCCAGATGCAGGGCTCCATCTCACAACCGTGAGATCTTTACTGAGCCGAAATCAAGAGTTGGACACTCAACCAGCTGAGCCACCCAGGTGCCCCTGTTATTTCTTTATAATCAGTAAGTTTTATTGGTGAGGAGTTTGGATTAGAACCTAAATAGTCATTATGAGTAGAAAAATCTGATTGTAGGGCCCTGGGTAATACAAAATATTCAGAAAGTCTTGTTTCTTAATTCCACTAATGTGAACAAGATTTTAATATATAGTTTGATTATATAATGCAGCAGAAAACCATACCAGAGTAGCCATTAAATTGTGGATTTCGGTCAAGTGAAAGATCTTACAGGACACTTCTGAAAATGAATTCACAGTCATCCATCCTAGCAGGTAGACAGCAAAACTTACCAGTCATTTAAGTAGTAACAGTGCTTAGGCAGGCACTGTAACAACTTTTCATTGAGGTATTAGACCCTCATTGTTCTGTGTGGCTAAGAATCAAATATCCCAGTTACACAGATAGCAAGTGGTGAAAGTGATCTTTGAATCCGGCATGTTTGGGGTCTCCTTTGTGCCGTGCTATTTCCTTAAACTAGGTAGCCTCCCTTAGCTACAACGAGGTATAGCCAACTGTGTACTTAGATGCATGGTAGACATCACAAATTGAAAAGTTACCACCATTCATCTAGCCGCTCAAGGGAAAATTTGAGTATGTTCTTGATTCTGGTTTTACTTACCTCCCCACATCTTATTCATCAATAAGCAAATCCTTTTAGTCCTGCTCTAAGATGACTCTCCAGTCAATCCAGTTCTGTTTATTCACAGCCACTGACCAGGCAGAGGGTATTCTCTCCCCATGTGGATCCTGTGCTTCCCCTTATTGTCCATTTTCTGCTTAGCAGCTAGAGTAATATATAACAATATAAATCAGATTGCTTAAAAACCTCCAGTTACTTTATATTTTGTACATAATAAAATCCAAAAATGACTAGTAAGGGGTCAAGAAGTGCTTCTGGTATTTTTTATTGTTAAACTAGTTATGTCTTCTCAGAGTTTGAACTCTTCGGGAATAGAATCATGTGTTCCATTTTATGAGCCCCGGAGCACCTGGTTTAATTGTTGGGGTATGACACAGTGTAAGTGTGAATTTTGGAGTTAGACTTGTGATGCACTTCTGGTTCTGGTATCTGTAGGCATACATTTATTTTTTTTAAGATTTTACTTATTTATTAGAGCACGAGCAGGGTGGGTGGAAGAAGCAGAGGGAGAAGCAGACTCCCTGTGGAGCAGGGAGCCTGATGTGGGGCTCGATCCCAGGACCCTGAGATCATGACCTGAGCTGAAGGCAGACGCTTAACAAACTGAGCCACCCAGGTACCCCTGTAGCCGTTCATCTGTGAGCAAGTTATTTAACTGTATGAAAGTTAAGTTAACTGAACTTACCTCTGTGTTGTCTTTGTTGAGGTGTGACAAGGAATAAATGAGATAATCTGTTTTATAGCATATATAAAGGCACCCCATAGCATGCATAGTGACTTTACCGAATGGTTACTTTATTATTGAGGTCACAGTTGTTCAATATATTTCACTAATTTGGACCACTCTGTTCTATAAATGCTTAGATTTCCCTTTGGAGATAATACATAAAGTTATATATGTAATGAGCTACGTATTATATATGTAAAAGATCTGACTTGTATTTAGTTAGGTGGTGTACATACAGTATTAAAGTAAGCAACATTTTTGCTTTTTTTTTTCCATTTTTCTTTCCTTTCTTCTAGGGAGAAGAGGACTTGCTTGCCTGGCTTGTGGTCAACATCTGGAGGTAGTGCACTCTCTAACAGGAGAGCGGTTGTCTGCGTATAGATTCAGTGCAGTCAATCAACAGCCTCCTGTGATCCTGGCGATGAAGGAATTCTCTTGGCAGAAGAGAGTTGGATTGTTAATTGGATTAGAAGAAGCGGAAGGGAGTGTTCTCTGTCTTTATGACCTTGGCGTGTCCAGAGTGGTTAAAGCAGTTGTTCTTCCTGGAAGGGTAGGTACTGGTTAAGGCCTGTGAGCTGCAGCTTTCAGAGCCGAGCCCCCCTGCTGAGGACACAGGTGTGTTCACTTTGTGAACGTTTAGTGAGCTGCACATTCATAATTCATTTACTTTTATGACATTGTGTTAGTTGTCATTAAAAGTTCAAGATCAAAAAGAGGTTCAAGATAGTATATTATCAAAAGAACCTAACACTTAAAATAGAACTTTCTTATTCTTGGCTACAGAATTGCAGAGTGAAAGTAGGGATGACATCAAGTGTTCTAATATTCTTTTATATGAAATTATCATCTGAGTCTTGTTATCTTCAGTTGTGTTTTTTGAGGTTACTGAAAGTTTGTATTAGAATATTATGTTCATTAGTATGGCATTTTTTTGTTTGTTTTTCTTTTTAAATTTGAGACTGTAGCCTTGGAGCACTATGGAAAATATGTCCTCACTGTTGTTTAAGTTTTGAATAATATTTAAATAGCAGATTCATTTCTAATCACCATTTATTAATTCTAATATATGTATGCCTTCCATATGCCAAACATCTTAACCAGTAGTAAAGTATAGAAGTACTTTGAATTCAGGTTATTTCTTCAGTAGGTTTATTCCTACTCTTTCATATGCTAAGAAAAAGTATGTCCTTAACAAATATACGCACACATATAAATACAAAATGATGTAAGAGTAGAATTCTCTGTGTACATAGTATGGAAAAAATATGTAGCAAATATATAATAGCATATAAACAATATACAGTATAGACAATGTATAAAAATATATAACATACAGACAAATGTAGGCATGCATATAAATGTTCTGTTGTGGTCATAGAATAGCATTTTTAAAGTTAAGAGGGAGATAAATGTCAAAATACTGTTTTTGCCATTTACAGAAGCTGCCTCAGTGGGCAAATATAGGGGTCTGAAGTGGTTTATAGCCAATGCAGATTTTAAAGGCAGAATTAATTTAGCAGTTTATTGAGTGCTTACTCTAGATCAAACTATGTGCTAGATTTTGGAGATGAGTAGATAAGTAGAACTTGGTCCACACTGTTAAAAGCTGGTACTCTAGTGGGAGAAGACAGGTCATAAGTTTACAGCATAAATATAATGAGTATTTTGGTAAACTCAAGCACAGGGAACATGGAAACGAAACAGGTGGATAATTTCTATTCATAGAGGTTGGACGTTTCAGGCAAAGAGACCAGCATGTAAAAAGTCATAGTATTTAGAACATTTGGGAACTGACCTTATTTGGAATGGCTGTGGGAGAGGGGAAGGCGGAGGTGGGGTCTAGAAGTGCTCAGCGTTCAGATAGTAAATGGCCTTGTTTGCAGTTTGTGGCCACTGCCTGAAGTCTCTGGCGAAGTCATTTTAAGTTTAAAGCAGAACTCTATAGTGTAAAAAACTCATTGGATTGGAGTAGTTCGGGCAGATAATGATGGTGAGCCAAACCAGGGAAATGACTCTGGAAACGGAGATGATGGGGCAGATTCAGAGTATACTCAGGAGGTGACATGGGTAGGACCTGTTCATCATTTGGTTAAGAGTAAATGAAAGGGGGGCGCCTGGGTGGCTCAGTTGGTTAAGCGACTGCCTTCGGCTCAGGTCATGATCCTGGAGTCCCGGGATCGAGTCCTGCATCGGGCTCCCTGCTCAGCAGGGAGTCTGGTTCTCCCTCTGACCCTCCCCCCTCTCATGCTCTCTCTATCTCATTCTCTCTCTCAAATAAATAAATAAAATCTTAAAAAAAAAAAGTAAATGAAAAAGAACAAGACTTATTTTTTTTATTTTTTAAAGATTTTTATTTAGGGCGCCTGGGTGGCTCAGTTGGTTGAGCGACTGCCTTCGGCTCAGGTCATGATCCTGGAGTCCCGGGATCGAGTCCCGCATCGGGAGCCTGCTTCTCCCTCTGACCCTCCCCCCTCTCATGTGCTCTCTGTCTCTCTCATTCTCTCTGTCTCAAATAAATAAATAAAATCTTAAAAAAAATAAAATAAATAAAATAAAGATTTTTATTTATTTGAGGGAGAGAGAGCGAGCACGCGCGTGCACACATGAGCAGGAGGGAGGGGCAGAGGGAGAAGGAGAAGCAGACTCCCTGGCTGTGCATGGACCCCAACTTGGGGCTCCATCCCAGGACCCCAAGGTCATGACCTGAGCTGAAGGCAGACTATTTTGTTTTGTTTTGTTTTGTTTTAAGATCTTATTTATTTGACACAGAGAGACACAGCGAGAGAGGGAACACAAGCAGGGGGAGTGGGAGAGAGAAGCAGGCTTCCAGCCGAGCGGGGAGCCTGATGCGGGGCTCAGTCCCAGGATCCTGGGATCATGACCTGAGCCGAAGGCAGACGCTTAACGAGTGAGCCACCCAGGTGCCCCAAAACAAGAGTTCTAGATAAGTTCCTGGTCGCTCAGTTGTGTGGATGGCTGGCATCCCATGGAAGAGGGAGAAGGGAAAGATGAAGAGACTAGTGATAGATAACCTTCCATACAAGTTTGGTTAACTAGTTGTTTTTTGGCTAGGGCACAGTATCCCCTGTTAAATTTGTTTGCTTTTAACTGCCTTACTAATTAAGGTACCATTGTCAATTAATTCAGAGTATTTGTATGGGGAATGCAAACAGATAGAGTTCTTAATTCCTATCTGAGGGAATTGAAGAGACGGTGCTCTAGTATTTATAGACATTATTGCCATAATTTAGAAAAGGAAGACAGTCCATGAAATTACAGCTTTCAGAATTAGAAACACTGTAGAATGTTTTGTGTACCAATGAAATATAGACAGAGCCAGGCTTTAGTCTGTGATAATAGATTACAGCCCGAAACAAACTTTACTTGTATTAATGCATAAATCATTGATAATAAATTTCCTCCTTTCTAGGACTCATCAGTATCATAATAGAAGTCATAATAGAAGTCACTAAATACTTAATTATCATATATCATACTTAATTCTTGTGAATTAATAGGAAACAGAAGGAAAGCTGAGTATAAAATACAGACTATTTATTTAGGTACAGACATTTAAAATTTGACTCATGAGAGGAAGAGGTAAAAACATAACTGTAATGTAGCTATAGTATGATATTTTTTAATTTTAATTTTTTATTTTATTTTATTTTTTTTAAGATTTTATTTATTTATTTGAGAGAGAGAATGAGATAGCGCATGAGAGGGGGGAGGGTCAGAGGGCGAAGCAGGCTCCCCGCTGAGCAGGGAGCCCGATGCAGGACTCGGTCTCGGGACTCCAGGATCATGACCTGAGCTGAAGGCAGTGGCTTAACCAACTGAGCCACCCAGGCGCCCAATTTTAATTTTTTAAAAAAAATATTTGACAGAGAGAGGGAATACAAGCAGGGGGAGTGGGAGAGGGAGAAGCAGGCTTCCTGCGGAGCAGGGAGCCTGATGCGGGGCTCGATCCCAGGACCTGGGACCATGACCTGAGCCGAAGGCAGACGCTTAACGACTGAGCCACCCAGGCACCCCTACAGTATGATTTTTTTAAAAATAATTTAAGTTCTTGTTAAATGTCAGTGATCCAGTCACTGCCGAAGCTTAGTGTGAAGTCCATTGTAATATGGCCCTTTTAAAGAAGGTTAGACCTCTTCAGGCTAAGGCATAAGCAAGACTTTTATTTTAAAGAGTAAACAGTAAATTTTTTTTGAATGATTTAATTTTACTCTTCCTTAGGAAAAGAGGCTATCTAATCATGGAGTAGCTGGTTGAGAGCTTTGAAGAGAAAAATCTAGATTTGAGTTTTACACTTAATGTCTGTGTGACTTGAATAACCACAGCTAAACTTTCTAAGTTTCAGGGTGGTTTCATCTTTGAACAGGTAGAATTATATATGATCCAATATCCAGGGTTATCATGAACATTACATGAACCAATTAGCACAAGGCCTGGCATATAGTAAGCTTTCAATAAACATCAGTTATTTCAGTGGCATGATTTGTTATATATTGAAATAATGGTGTCATTTCTGTTTTTTCTGAAGATTTCATTATGTTATTCAGATTCACAAGTATCAAATGCAAATTTATAATTCTCTAATAGAAAATGTTTAAATCCATGGTAACTAATAACCTGCTTTAACATCCAAATTTGTTTACTGTGTTTTTTAATTGTATTTTCTCACTTTGTATAAGAAAAACAAATGCTGTATTCTGCTTTCTAGGTGACCGCGATTGAACCCATAATTAGTCACGGAGGAGCCAGTGCCAGCACTCAGCATTTGCACCCAAGCCTCCGATGGCTTTTTGGTGTGGCTGCAGTGGTGACTGATGTTGGACAGATCCTTCTTATTGACCTGTGTTTGGATGACATGTCATGCAGTCAGAATGAATTAGAGGCCTCAGGTAATTGTTTCAAACCCAAAACTGAGCACCTGAATACTCTGAGGCAATGGATTGGGTTTTTTCCCCTAAATATTGAAAATTTTTTATATAGAAGCTTCTCTTCATGTGTCTTTGTTTCTTTTATTATTTGGACTTGTATTATTGTTTTGAGCACTGGATACTTTTTGCATGAGTTACTCTATTTTATTGATGAGTTATTCATATACTTAAAGTAGGTATTGACAGAAATGGAGATTTTGATTTGTTTTTCCATATACACTTGAAAAATAGCTGTTATTAAGTATATGCCAGAAGAAGGGCTGAAGGTATAAAATCTTGATCTTTATCAGACAGTATAAAACTGTCCAGCTGTGTAGGATCTGTTTTTGGCACGCTAGTTATGTGCCTACGGTAAGGCCAAGTTAGAAATAGGGTAGTGTAATAGGAAATAAAATAGTAATCGAAGGTTTTCTTTCACAAAATAACATCCTAAGATAGAACTAATGCTTACTCATATTTTTATAAATTGAGGAGAATTTTCTTCCTTTAACACTAATAACTTAATGTTTATAAATCTTCTCATCAAATGCTTTCCGTTCTTTGATTTTTATTTATGGGACATTTAAATGATTGATTTATACAGGGAGGAGAACTAACCTAAAAATCTTAAAAAATGTATGTGTAAAAAGTTTCAGGAAAGGACCATTTGATCTTGAGACCTTCTTAATAGTTAAAGCAGTCCTGTACTATTAGGGCAGATCGGTTTCTCTGTGGATCAGCTAAGAAACAAATAATTATTTTATCCCAATTTATAATGAGCATAACTAATAAAAATTGTCAGTGCGTAGTAAAACTAATTAAAACTGCAAGTAGTAAAAATTGTATTTAACCAGAAATTTAAGAACCAAATCAAATTTCTGAGCAAAATTTTAAATCTGTAAAATACGACTTGAAAGAACTTGATTTGGCAGAAATAATGGCCACATGGACACTTAAGAAAAAAAAAAAGAAGAAAAATTCTCACAGTGATAGAAACGAAATTTGATATGTCCAAAGATCTGATTAACCCTGGGTAAAGTTTAAAAGAAAAGAATTGACTAGCAGAAATAACAGTAATTAAAAATGTATTTATAGAATATTAAGAAGTGTTTGAACTGCTCTTTATAGAAAATTGATAGAGGACTTCAGTAGTCTTTTTTTTTTTTTTTAAAGATTTTATTTACTTATTTGAGAGAGAGAATGAGATAGAGCATGAGAGGAGGGAGGGTCAGAGGGAGAAGCAGACTCCCTGCTCAGCAGGGAACCCGATGCGGGACTCGATCCAGGGACTCCAGGATCATGACCTGAGCCGAAGGCAGTCGCTTAACCAACTGAGCCACCCAGGCACCCGAGGACTTCAGTAGTCTTGATGGAATTTTGTTCCAGAGTTTTGTAGACAGTATCATTCTACATGTAAGGCTAATTAAGATGCTTGTATTCATAATTAAAACTCTCTTCAGGGGCGCCTGGGTGGCTCACTCGTTAAGCGTCTGCCTTCGGCTCAGGTCATGATCTCAGGGTCCTGGGATCGAGCTCCGCATTGGGCTCCCTGCTCGGCTGGAAGCCTGCTTCTCCCTCTCCCACTCCCCCTGCTTGTGTTCCCTCTCTTGCTGTGTCTCTCTCTGTCAAATAAATAAAATCTTAAAAATAAACAAACCTCTCTTCAGACCAAAATAGTGGAGTTAAAAGATCCTTTATTTCAGAGATCAGCAATCAGTAGTTGAATTCAGCACAAGGATGATTTTATAATGGAACTCTTTGGATTGTGATCAGAGATCAAAATCCTTTCTCAATTATAAGATTTACAAAGCCATTGAATAAAAAATTGGGGTTTAATGCAAAAGGTTTTTTTTTTTTTATAATTTTTTTTTTTTTTAAAGATTTTATTTATTTATTTGACATAGAGAGACACGGTGAGAGAGGGAACACAAGCAAGGGGGAGTGGGAGAGGGAGAAGCAGGCCTCCCGCAGAGGAGAGAGCCCGATATGGGACTCGATCCCAGGACCCTGGGACCATGACCTGAGCCGAAGGCAGTTGCTTAACAACTGAGCCACCCAGGCGCCCTAATGCAAAAGTTTTTGTTTACAAAAGTAATTTATGATTACAGCTATTTGGACTTTGCTGTAATACACGTAATATAGAAAGTGAAGTTCCGGGGCGCCTGGGTGGCTCAGTCAGTTAAGTGTCTGCCTTTGGCTCAGGTCATGATCCCAGCGTCCTGGGATCGAGTCCCACATTGGGCTCCCTGCTCAGTGTTTCTCCTCCTTCTGCCCCTCCCACGCTTGTGCATGCGTGCTCTCACTCTAATAAATAAAATCTTTTTTTTAAAAAAAAGTGAAATTCCTAATATTTATCGTACTATATACTGTTTTACAACTTTTCTAAACCTAATGGTATTGTACATCTTTCCACAATACAGCTAGAGCCTACCTTACTCTCTTGAATAAGTGTACGTTATTCCGTTGTTTGAAGTACTTATTTTGGCAAAGTTTAATCCTTGCTCTTTGGAAAAATAATCAGAAGCAGAAGGGATTAGGAGAGTAATTGTTCAAGTACAATGTATGATTTTTCCCTTCTTCATAACAGCATTGAGGGAATCTGCCCTTGGCTCGTGGTTATATCAATATATGGGCCTGAGTATTTTTCCTTTTATTGAAGATTTCAGAGATCTTCAGGTAGACAGAAGAATATAAGAACTCCCACATATCCGTCACCTAAATTGTTTTCAGAACTTACCATATGTGCATCTTTTTTCTTTCTTTTCCCTCTTCCTCCTTTTGCCTCTGCATTAATTTAAAGCAAATATTGGCTGTCCTGTATAATCGTAATGCCATTATCAGTCCTAACTATATTAATAATTCCTTGCTATAGTCTAATAACTGGTCCGTAATTACATGGCTCTAGAGCATCTTTTTGCATTTGTATTGTTTGAATCCGGATCCGAACAAGGTCCACACATGACATTTGAGTTGTCTCCTGTCTCCTTGAATGTAGAGCAGACCTCCCTCTAACTTCTCCTTTCCTATTTATTTTTAGTTCTACTGACTTGTTGGAGAAGTTAGTTTATCTGATAGAATGCCCCACATTTTGGAATTAGTGGAGTGTTTTCATGTGGTGTCATTTACATTTTGTATTTTCTGCAAATATAAGTTAGCTCTGATTAGGTTCAAATGTGACATTTGGCAAGGACACTTCCAGAAGTGCTGGATATTTCCTACTGTATCATATCGGGAGGACATGATGTCTTGTTTCACCTTTAGTGATCAGTGGGTCCAGATGATAACACTGCAGTCCTTCCTTGTTAAAGTTTCCCATCTGCCTTTGTACCAGTGATTCTCAGCCAGGGGTGACATTTGCCTTCTAGGGGATCTTTGATAATGTCCTGGGGACATTTTTGGTTGTTGCTCCTGGAGGGAGATGGTGCTACTGCCATCTAATAGACAGGCCTGGGGATGCAGTTCACCATCCTGCAGTGCGTAGGACTGTTCCCCTCGGCAAAGATTTATCTGACCCAGAGTGTCCGTGGAGCCAAGCTTGAAAAACCCAATTTAAATTAATTGTTTCATCCATTGAGATTGTTACCTTAAATCTCTTGATTCAGTAGGGGATACAAAAATGATGATTTTAAAATTCTGTTAATCTAAAGAAGAATTTTCTCATTATAACTACGGCTATTTGTTTACCCTGAAATACAGTTTGTACGGAAGAGGCAGGATGAATGCTTACTATTTTTTTAAGTACTAATTTTCAGAGTAAGGAGCTGGTACCCAGTTACTTAAAATGGTTCAGTAAGGTCTTTTGTTGGTGAGGACAGGAACTCAGGAGGTTTTGCATACTTCATGTGTTTCATTCATTTACTTTCATTATTGTTTACTGATGTTCAAAAGAAATTTTTTTTTAAACTCATGAGCACCCCTTATGTAGTCTCACAGATCCCCTTTAGACTTTGATAATCAGTTTCCTAGATTTCTGGCACAAGATGTCCTAGGCTCATCTTAACATATTTTCTGCCCCAGGCCTGGAACCGGCCATTTCTCCAAGGGGAATATTTAGGTTCTTAGTTCTAAATTTGAATAAGGAAACCCATCAGCTTTTTGTTTAAAAAAAGAAAAAAGAGGGGCGCTGGGTAGCTCAGTTGGTTCAGTGTCTGCCTTCGGCTCAGGTCACGATCCCAGAGTCCTAGGATCGAGCTCCGCACTGGGCTCCCTGCTTAGCCGGGAGCCTGCTTCTCTCTCTGCCCCTTTCCCCTGCTTGTGCTCGCTCGCTCGCTCTCTCTGTCTAAAATGAATAAATAAAATCTAGGGAAAAAAAAAGAAAACCCTGTCAGCTTTGTTTACGATTATTAAGGAAATTGTGTAATCCTTTTTTAAAAAAGTGTACTTCAGATATTTGAGATGTATCCTAAGGTTTTTTTAAAAATTACACGGTTAAACGTATTTTGAAAATTAGAGCATTTAACCTAGGTATGGTTGGCTGTTTTATAGTTCAGCATGCTTTGTTATCACTGATCTGATTTTAATTGACCACAGTAGTCCTCAGTTGAAGCTTGAATAGTGGGTGACACATTTGCTTTTATGGTTGTTATGATCTGTTAATCTTACTTGTCTTGTTTTTCTAGACCTTGAAGTTGTAACCGGCATCCCGGCCGAGGTTCCACACATCAGGGAGACCGTGATGCGCGAGGGCCGCCACCTGTGTTTCCAGCTGGTGAGCCCGTCGGGCACTCCCGTATCAGCCCTTCGCTACATCAGCAGGACGAACCAGCTTGCCGTGGGCTTCTCTGATGGCTACCTAGCTCTTTGGAATATGAAGAGCATGAAAAGAGAGTAAGTATGACTTTCTTCTCTCGGTTATTGGTAGTTTTTTTCTGAATATAATTTGTACTTAATTATTACTATTTTAAAATTAGCATAAAGAGAAAAGGGTATGGTTAAAAATAAGACTTTTTTTTTTTTTAAGTTTTATTTATTTAAGTAATCTCTGCACACTATCTGAGGCTCGAACTCATGACTCCAAGATCAAGAGTTCCATGCTCTTCTGACTGAGCCAGCCAGGTGCCCCTCTTTTTTTTTTTTTTTAAATAAAAAATCTTTTTAAAAAATTGCTGCAAAATTAACCCTTTATTGAGGGAAGTGCCCTTAATTGAGGGAGGTAGCAGATCGGCATTATAGACTTTTAATCTCTCTGAAGAGTTAAGTAGATGCCTGTTTTTCTCATAAGTTGTCAATTTAATATTCATTTTTTTTCAAGGCATATTGGATTTTTTTTTTTTTTTTTTTAACCACATACTAGTGATGAAGTGGTAGTGCTGTTGCCTAGTAGCTCCCTAGGGCAAGTCCACCTCAACTCTCTTTGCTTGAGAACTTTTTACCAGCTCTTGTCTTGGAATTGCTGCTCAGTGAATGCCTGGAGAACCTGGCTTCCACAGTCTTTCCCCTGGCACTGTTCTCTCTTGGCGAACTGTGCTTTCCAAGTGGTTTGTGGGAATTCTTCAGATTCTCCCTCACTGGGGTGTCGTGGTGAGGAAACTAAGCACAGGCAGCTGAGGTGGAGTGTTGTGTCCGTGTTCATCTTTCCTAGGGGGCCTCTAGCTGGGAGCAGCCCACAGTGGCGCATCCTCACCTGACAGGAGGCATGAGTTCCCACATGCGCGTATGTGGGCACACTAGTAGTTTTGGCCCTTCCCCCGGCCATGCCTGTTGCCTCACTGTCCTGTGCCCTGTGCATGAAGATCAGATGATCGTGTTAACAGTAGTTGCTCCAACCCAGATTTTCACATAAGACCCAGTATGAACTGTCCTATTTTTTGTGCCTGTTGTAGATACTACACACAGCTGGAAGGTGGAAGAGTTCCCGTGTATGCGGTCACTTTTCAGGAACCTGAGAATGATCCGCGTAATTGCTGTTACTTGTGGGCTGTTCAGTCGACACAAGATAGGTAAGTGTGATGTGTGTGGTTTTTAAAAACACTTGTCAAAGATGAGGCAGCAGGTCATTTCTTTTGGAAAGTCTTGTAGTATTTGTCTTTTTAGTGAAAACAGCATAGTTCAGTGAATTAATGAGTGGTAGTTGAAATGATTTTGAAAGTTAAATGATTGTTTCGACATGGTTGAGTAAATTCTGGGGTATCAGTAAGAAATGGTGCTTGTTTGACTTGTTTGAATGCTGTTTCTAAGAGTAAGCCAATATAGGGGAGTGAGCAGCCTCTTAATGCCTTAGACAATTTTTATGGCCTTCTGTGTTCTTACACTTTTATAATCTCATTTCTTCTCTTTGTTGTGTATGCCTCTCTCGTTTTTATTTACCCTTACTCTGTTCCCTGGTCCTCCTGTTTGCCTTTTTCAGTATATTCTTAGCATTAACTTGGTTCATTTTTCTATCATAAGGTCTAATTTTGTCTCAATTACAGTTAGTGAGAAATCTTTCAACTGAATTCTAACCAGTTAAATTTGTTCAACTAGAATAGTGTAAGTATTGATTTTCTCTTATTTTTCTTTGGTGTTTTGTTCTTTCTTGGATGATCAGTGAAACAGTTGAGCTTGTGGTATAAATGTCTTGATGGTGACAATGTGCGCTTCCCAGTACTTTTCTCTTCCCAAGTCCATCCTGCCTTGGGCTCTAGGTAACCTGCATTGTGGTCACTTGGGGTTTTGTGTTCTTATGTCTCCACTTGGTGGTTTGGTCTTGCCTTACTCTGTAGTAAGTCAGGAAATGGAGAATTGATTTGCCACTTTGAAATTTGTCAATCCTGGAAAAATACTGAAATGAAAATACAGAGCCTGCTGTTAGGCTACCCCTCCATGAGTCAAACCCCTATTTCCATTCATCTGAGGGGGGGGCAGCAATTGGAGGGATGTGACCTGTGAGGGCTCTGGGTGGTGGGGAATGTGAGGGGACTTTCATCTAAACAGTTGTTGTATTCTGCTTATTTTTCCTCCTAGGACTGTCTCTTAGGATAAGTTCTATTTTTTATTCTTTATGTGGGTTTTTGTATTTTACTTTTTCTGAATTTCTCACACTAAACTCTAGAGTGCTTTCCTCTTATTTTGGAACTTGGTGAATAAATCTAACTTCTTTTTTACCATACCACTCTTGATTCTTTTGATGTTATCTGTAAGTGATGCCCACTCTATTCTTATAATCATGAAGCTATCTGAATATTCTCTGTTCCTGATTTTCTTTTGTAAAATCCTTGTGAAATGTATGCGCTTCCTTTGTCCTTTTTTGAGGTAGTTTTCAGAGCTCTCTACAGCTGATTCTTGAACAAGGTGGGAGCTGGGGCTCTGACCCCTCTGTGAAGTCAGAAATCCATGAAAACTTTTGACACCTGCCCCCTCCCAAATTTAGCTACTAATAGCCTGCTGTTGACTGGAAGCCCTACCAATAAACATCAATAATTAGCATGTATTCTGTGTGTTAAATGTGTTACATACTGTATTCTTTAATGCCTTTTTGCTTAATTTTTTCAGTATATCTATGCTATGTGGTTCATCTGCAAGGTTTTTCAAATTGTCACAAATCTCCAAAAAACTTCCCACTGTATTTATTGAAAAAAATCTGCATACAGATGGACCACACAGTTGAAACTTGTGTTGTTCAAGGGTCACATGTATTTGCATTTGAAGCACAAATGAATCATAGTTTAAAATATGGGCAGAATATACTTTTCAGTTTCTCTTAACAAGGTGATGCCCTGTATTTACTTGTCTTCATTATTCACAACACACCGAGGAAGTAACCCATAGGAACAATTCTCTAATGACTTGTAAACCACTTTCTAGTACTGTATATAATATTCTTTTAATAGGACAGGGTTAATTTAATTGGTAAGTTGGGTTATTTATTTCTGCATGATTTACTTTGCGTTTGTCACTATAACTGATGTGAGATATTTTTGAGAGTGGTATTTTTGTGGACTTCTAGTCTTTGATTTGGGCCCTTAAATTAGTATGTCATGGGCCTCTTTGAGAATCTGATGAAGACTGTGATATATATTGGTATGTGTATGTAATATGATTTAAAGCAGAATTCCTGACCTGTGGTCTGTGTGTAGACATAGAGCAGTCTGTGAGCTCCCGGAAATGATATATAAAATTATTTACATTTGTTCATATATGTCTATGAACAATATGTAATAAAAATATATTTGTGTACACATATACAAATAGTATGTATATACATGTATAAATAATACTTGTATACTGGAAACAACACTTACATATATAAGTGATACTTACATATTGGTATATTTAAGTGGATGTTATTGGTATTATAAGTAAATGAAAATAATATAAACTTAGATTATAAGTCTAAATTAAGAAAGACAATGATGTGCTCCTTCCTTTTCCCCATCAGAGTGATTATTTAAACAATAAAAAAGGAAAAAAAAATCACCGTAGAGTGATTATATCACCACAGAATTACATGGGTATAGATCTTAAATTGTTGCCATAGTGCTCATCAATTATAATAAAAGCCACATTAAATTTTTAAAACTTATTTTTATTTAAATTCAGTTAATTAACATATAATGTATTATTGGTTTCAGAGGTAGAGGTCAGTGATTCATCAATCAAGCCACATTAATTTTGTAATATGGAAAAGTGACTGGTGTTCCCTTTAATGTTGGTTGTATGCAGTTTGTCTTATTTAATATTTGGTCTTTTAGAGGTTATTTGTCTTTGTTTCATGTCCATGTGTTTATTCATTCCACAAAATCATTGAGTGTTTATATGTGCTAGTGACTGTTGTCGAAAATGTAACAATGCGTAGCACCAATAAATTTCTATTCTTCTAGATGTTCTATTTCAGCGAGTATATTTCATAAATATACTAGTGCATGTATTTCATATAATTTCAGTTAGTGATGTTAAATACAGAAAAAGCTGGGAGAGGAGATATGGAATGTGTGGTATAGGGAACTGCTCTTTTAGATAGTGTGGTTGGGGAGATTTGAACGAAGTCAGTTGGGGCAGGTAGGTAGGAGAGCCATGGGGGAGATCTGGGGGAAAGAATGCAAAGGCCTTAGAAAAATGTTTCAAGGAAAAGGAAGAAGAGCGGTAAAGGGTAGAATGCAGACTGGTCATAGATGAGGTCAGAAGAGTAGAACTAGTTTATATAGGGCCATGGAGGCCAGGATAAGGTAAGTATATGAATTTGGTCTGGTCTAAATTAGTTTCTGATGGGAGGGTCTGAGCATTAGTATTTTGTCAAAGCTTCTTTGATGATTGTAATAATAAGCAACCAAGATGGGGAACCACTAGCCCAGAGTGAGAACAGTAGAGAAGAGAGCTGGGAATCCTTCTGCACGTGGAGATAATTGATGGTGGAGAAGCAGAGGGTAGAACAGCCAGCAGAGGACTATGGATAGTGTAGTGTGAGGAACATGAAGATCATGTGGTATCCTGGAGGCCAAGTAGAATATGTGTTCTAAGATCAGCCAGAAAGAATAAGAATTCACATTTAGACAATATGGAAATCTGTGCTCTTAATACTTACTGCACGCTGTCCTTGAGCAGTGAGGAGTTGATTTGGGATCTTTGCTTTATATTCATACTGTATAGCCCTCATCCTGTGGTCCCGGGCAGCAAGATCTTCATTTTAGGTAGAAGCATAACGAGATGGTGGAAGAAGGAACAAAGGACGTGCAGTCCCCTAAGGACAGTTTTCTGTAGTTGCCATGGGATAATTCTGTATACATCTTGTTGGCCAGAACGTGGGCCTCCTGCACCCAGCTCAGAGCACACCTGTTAAAGACGGGGAGAAGCAGTGTTGGGTACACCGCTGTAGTCTCTGCCACATAAGGGGTCACCTAAAGTGTCCAAATAACATCAGCTTAAGTTAATTAGAATCTGTTAAAAATAAAAATCAGTTATTGTTTCAAAGGACTGCATTTTGTGAAAACTAAATCACAGTAAGTTCTTCATGTTGACCTTAGTTTTGTCCTGTGCACTCAGTATTGTATACTAGACAGAAAGAGCTGCTTGATATATTAGTAGGATCTTGAGTGTTTCTTCTCAGCTCGTTTCTGTTTCTTTCAGTGAAGGGGATGTGTTGAGTTTACATCTACTTCAGCTGGCCTTTGGTGATAGAAAGTGTTTGGCATCAGGACAAGTCTTGTATGAGGTAAATGGTACTGGGAATATGGGTTCATTATGACCATTTTATCATTGTTTTGCCTTTTTTAGTCTTTAAGATATTAACATATTGAAAAGTTATTCTTCTATTCAAGTTAATACTGTATCACAATGTAATGAAAAAAGTGTTAGATTAGGGATCAGAATACTAGCAGTTTTACCAACATAGCCTTCTTAACTTCCCCACGTATCATTTTCATCTAAAATGAGGGGATTGGACACAACTCATCTTGTGACCTAATTGGTACACAGGAAAATATGCCGCATTTTGTTGCTCTAATATATCAAGCAGTAAGCCATGGGGTGACTTTATAAACAGTCTTGGGGCACCCGACTGGCTCAGTCAGTGGAGCATGCAACCCTTGATCTCGGGGTTGTGAGTTTGAGCCTCACGTTGGGTGTAGAGATTACTTAAAAATGTTTTTTGTTTTGTTTTGTTTTTTTTGAAAAAGTGCAAGTGGGGTAGGTGGCAGGGAGAGGGAGAGAGGATCTTAAGCAGGCTCCACGTTCAGCACGGAGCCTGATGTGGGGCTTTTGATCTCACAACCCTGAGATCATGACCTGAGCCAAAATCAAGAGTCAGATGCTCAACTGGCTGAGCCAACCAGGCGCCCCACTTAAAAATAAAAATCTTAAAAAAATACACATTTTTTTTTAATTAAAAAAATGGTCTTGCCACTTACAAAAGAGGATGAATGCATTAGCCTTTCAGATGACTGTTTCTCCAGCTGAATTTGAAGAAAAGGTGGTGTGCTGCTAATAGCTACGTGGTCAGCCCCTACATTCCTTTCTGTAGAACAATCTTTCTTAACCTAGTGTTTGAAGTTATGTGGATGGGCTTTAAAGAATCCATGAAGTCTGTGAATTATGTGTGACATTTTTATGATTATGCATTTTTCTGGGGGAGTTTAATAGCTTTCTTAGATTCTTTTCTTTTTTTTCCACACTAAAGATTTATTTATTTGAGAGAGCGAGAGCAGGCATGCACAAGTGGGAGGGGTAGGGAGAAGAAGAGAGGATCCCAAGCAGACTCTGCTGAGCATGGAGCCCATTGTGGGGCTAAATCTTACCATGACCCTGAGACCACGACCTGAGCTGAAACCAAGAGTCAGACACTCACCTGACTGCACCACCCAGGCGCCCCAGCTTCTTAAAGAGATTGATGAACAAAAAAAAATGTATGGGCTGCTGTTCTAGAGCAAGAATTTCTCTGAGAACAGAGGAGCAGGTTTGCTGGCCTGGAGTATCTTTGTAGAGAATAGTGATGGTTAGTCCAGTTCACACTCCAGCCAAAAGTGCCTGAAGGTTCCCGTGGTTGATAACTGCTTTAGAAGGTTTGTTGGTCACTGTTTTCAAGAGACTAAGTTTAGCCTTTTATCTGTGTTTTATGCTATATAAAATTTCAGAGCCCTTTTCAGTGATTTGCTCTCTTTCCTCTTTAACTTTTTTGTGTTTTCTTTGTATCATGTAAAAACTCTTTAAATACAGAGAACATTTAATTTTTGAATGATTTCTGGCTTAGAATTCCATTAAGATAGAGATTTTCTGTTTCAGGGGTTAGAGTACTGTGAAGAAAGATACACACTGGACCTCACGGGTGGCATGTTTCCTTTGAGGGGACAGACTAGTAATACCAAACTGTTGGGATGCCAGAGTATAGAGAAATATCGGTATCATGGCGACAGAGAGGAAGGTATGAATGAAGGTTGCTTAAAAGCACTCTTATTATATGTCATGTGGAATGCTTGATTTTAATAGTTATCTTGATGTAAGATTTGACAGCCTGCTTTTTAGAGTTCATACTCCTGGCAGTTAAAAAATTGGAATATTCTTTAGGTCTGTATCAGATTGTCAGTATTCTCACTCTCCAGTTTGCTATGCAGAACTCAAGAGTCCAATAGATTAAGGGATCCTTGTATTTTAATCCAGCTCTCTAAACAGGCAAGAATGGTCTCTAGTTTTGACTAGTATGAATAGTTTATGAGTAATGGTTCCTTCTGTGTATTTTTTGAGACCTATGGCAAACAGGCCTTGGTTGTCTTTAATTTTTCTCTTTCCTTTAGTATCATCCCTTCTTCCTGGTAAACAACCCTTGCACAGGAAAAATGGCATCGATTTGGAATCCATCATGGCTTCAGATCTCTGCTCTGTTACTAGTTGTGACCTTTGACAAATTATTTCACATTTCTGAGCCTCCCTTTCCCCATCTGTGAATGGAAAAATACAGTTGTACCTTTTGCAAAGGGTGGCGGTGAGAAATAAATGTGATACCTGCATAGGTTCGTTCAGCTGTGGACATGCTCCCTAGGGCCCTGCTTGTGTGTGTTCTTACTGGGATTCATCCTCATGGTTCACTCCTCCGTCCTGGGCATGTCCTCTGTGCTTGTTCCACGTCTGTATTTGTGGTCCAGTCTTCACGTCCAACTAAACATGCCCCAAACACAACTCTTCAAACGCTTATCTTTTCTCATTCCCCACTCCCCTCTTTTTTGTTTCCCATTGTTTACTTTTTCAGATGTTTACTTTTTTCTCTCATTGGTGCCTCTTACTTTGTTCCTATCTTTCCATTCCCCACGACCACCATCCAGGTCCTTGTCTTCCCCCCCTTTCCCAAAGAGCTGGATTAGCCCTTCTCAACTAGAATTCCTCCAAAGAATTAAATGCCTCAAAGTGTCCGTTTTCAGTATTGATATTCTCTGGTACTGGCTGTGTTCCCTTGTTGGGAGAATATGCATTCAAATAATTCTCTACTTTTACGTCCAACATCTCAAAGTTGCCAAAGTGTTAAGTGAAAACAAACCAGGATATAACTTTTCTGATGAGTACTTTTTAATAAAATCTTGAAATGGAGAAATAGTAAAGATATAAGTGAATGAAACCCTTCTTACAGAATGAAACCCTTCTTATAGAATGAGCGATAGAACTGTACTTTGAAATATCAAATATGATTAAAACTTCTTAATTTATGTCAAAATGTTGCTAAAATTTTATTTGGGCTAGTTTTACTTTGTGATTATTTATTCAATTTATAAAAATGATATTCTTTTCTTTTAGCTCTGTCTCCTGACACTAGTGTTTCAGTCTTTACCTGGCAGGTGAATATATATGGACAAGGAAAGCCTTCTATGTATTTGGGGCTTTTTGACATAAATCGTTGGTATCATGCACAGATGCCAGATTCGTTAAGGTATGATTTCGCCCTCTCTTCTTTTTCGTGTTTGTATGTGTAGCAGCTCAGTCATTTAATGATTTTGTAACATTTTCTTTTAGATCAGGAGAATATCTGCATAATTGCTCTTATTTTGCATTGTGGTCACTGGATTCTCTTGTGAACAAGACTTACCCACATTACATCTTGGATATACTAGTAAATGAGAGAAGCTTAAGTCGAGGAATTCCTCCTTCATATCCACCTCCTGAGCAGTTTTTTAATGCAAATATTTACAATTTTGGTATGTATTTCCTTAACATTAGCTTTTGAGAAAAATAACATGCACGAGTATGTATGCATGTGTGTAATATATATTTGTATAGTATATGTGTGGTATGTATATAGTGTGTAGTATACATGTATATATAGTTACCTGTTCATGTCTCATTACTGTTAATATATGGGTAACTTAGGAAATTAATTTGATATGTACATGAGAAATTTAATACTGAGGTATTTTATAAAGATATTATCACTATTATGAATTTGCTAGAAAAGGTAACTATTATTTATGTTGAAGTTTGGTATCTTGTCAGGATGGAAATACCTGGAAAAATTATTTTAAAATTTATTATATGTAATAATTTTGATATCTTGCCTAGCAATCTCTTGTTAGGATAAATTTTGGTGTGTTAATGCCATCTACAGTATAATATGTAAGCACATTTTTTTTTTACATCTTTTTTTTAGATGCCACTTGTTTGTTAAACTCAGGAATTGTTCATATAACTTGTAATGGCTTTCAAAAGGAGGTAGGTAACTAACAATGTGGACAGAGTGTGCCTTATTGAACTGAAGTCAGATCATGGATTTAAACTTTCTTTAGTGTTAATTATATAAACTGTTGTTTCAGCTTAAATGGTAGCTTCTGCTAGGTTTGTGATATGAGCAGTTAGTAGCATCAGTTACTGATGGCAGCCTGCCAGAAGAAGTATTGGGGTTGTGTAGATGTTAGCTACTTGAACGTTAAGGAAAAGAGTGGAAGTAGGTCAGTGCCTTCACCATATCCCTTTGTATCCGTACTCTTAATTCTCCTCTTTCTTCTCAGGAAGCTTATGAATAAGTGAAGTAACACAAAGAAGGTGCCTAGCACAGTGCCTGGCACAAGTGGGGATGACTATATGTTGAAAAAGACTTTCCCAGGAAAACACAAAATGGCAGATTTCAAAATTGATAATCGGCTAGATGTGCCTGAATGCCATATTTATATTCATATTAGATCTCTCTTACATTAGATCAGAAGGGATAAACGGCAGGGGTGTGTGTGTGTGTGTGTGTGTGTGTGTGTATGTACATTAAGATCTGTCACCAGCTCTGTCAGCTTTGGAGAAGGTAACAGGGTTACCCGTCATAAAAACAAAAAGCCACCCAAAGTACCCTTATCAGTAATATTATTTGTAACTAGCAAGCATTGGTTTAGCTCAAGAACCTATAAACCCTTTTCCTTGCAAGAAGTGTAAAAATGGAGTCTTACAATTTCTATTCCGTGTCTTTTAGCTTTATTCTCAAAATATTAAGTATAAAGTAGGGTGATAAGTTTATTATTCTTAAATTTGGTTATTTGAAATTGTGTCTTGATTGATATTTATTCATCGATCTTTACAGACTTTGAGGTTTTTAAAGAAATCAGGAGCATCCCTCAGTGAATTCATACCTGATGGCTATAATAGATGTCTTATGGCTGGCCTTCTGTCACCGAGACTTACTGATACTCACCCTTCCAGTTTAAGTCAGGTGAGATGATTTCTAACGCTGTTGTTTCTTTTGAACTGTTTTCTTAGCTTTCTATTATAATAAAAGTCTACTAGATAATTTCTGCAAAAGTAGATTCAGTAGATGCACTCTGCATGATCACTAGTTATGGTCTTGGGTTTGGCTTAAAATACAAACTCCCAGGACTTAGTAGGCCATAACTTGGCACCAGGTTCACTTAGCTGTATAGAAGGATATAGGGCAGGAGGCCCATCATGGCATGTCATGAGTAGAAGCTGTTATAACAGGCCTGGGGCCATTTTCCAGCCCCTGTGGGAACTGCATGGGTGCAAGAAAATGAGACCTCTGTGAGTGGAAATCATCTTGACTTAGGTAGATCTCATGGTCTAGAACAAAAGCATGTGATCACTGGCATGAGCGTCACTGGGAACTTGTTCATGGTTTCTATCATAGCGCTGTTTAATCAGAAATTCTAGGGAGTGGAGCCCAGCACTCAGTGTTTTAATAAGCCCTTGATGTGGGGGGCGCCTGGGTGGCACAGTCGGTTAAGTATCTGACTCTTCATTTCGGCTTGGGTCATGATCCCGGGGTCCTGGGATCGAGCCCTGCATGGGGCTCCCTGCTCAGCGGGGAGTCTCCTTCTCCCTCTCCCTCAGCCCCTCTGCCTGCTTGTGCTCACACTCTTAACTCTCTCACTAAATCTTTAAAAAAAGCCCTTGCTGTGATTCTGATGCAGTGTTTTATAGAAACCAGTATCTTCTGAGAGCGTGTGAGAAGATTCGAGATTCCTGCAAAACAGGGCCGTTGGTTCTTGAGGTCAGACTCACTCGTGGAAGCCAGAACCTTAACTTCCGAGTGGAGGTTTATAATCCATTCACAGTTTTCCTGGTCCCAGTACAGTTTACCTGCCAGGACACATTCTAGCAGTAAACAGTGTTGCCTGGGGACAGCTCATAATTCACCTTTATTTTAACTCATTATTTGTTAGTAAAACATGCTAAATGAAGTAAGCTCCATTTCCCATGGAGAAAGAGAAAATGTTAACTCTCCCCAGGTAGTGTTTGGATAAAGTTATTTAAAAATTACAGTTGTGAAACATAATGAATTGCTGGAAAAAGAGCCTTTTAAACATCTGAAGGAATATAAATATTGCCACTGTGGTTTAACACTTATGGTTGGATTTTAATACTTAATTTCATGAAGTGAAGAGAAATATTTGATTCTGTTATCGTTGGGAGATTTCCTCTCCTCATTCCCCCTCCTTTTATATTTTTGTATCTGTGTTTACCACATGGTCATGTCGTGATCAATGTTAATGTTCTTATTATGTAGCTTGTTTTTTCCTGGAGTTTCCAAGTGACCTTTAAAAAACAAAACAAGGGCGCCTGGGTGGCTCATTTGGTTAAGCGACTGCCTTCGGCTCAGGTCATGATCCTGGAGTCCTGGGATCGAGTCCCACATCAGGCTCCCTGCTCAGCAGGGAGTCTGCTTCTCCCTCTGACCCTCCCCCCTCTCAGGCTCTCTCTCTCTCATTCTCTTTCCCAAATAAAATCTTTAAAATAAATAAATAAATAAAAAACAAAACAAAACCTTGCCCATCTCACACAAGCTTAATTTTTTTCTTCTCAGTTTGTTTTTGCTCTTTGTGGAGCCTCTTTAGATGAAGGGTGTGACCTTCTGTTAGATTACCTTCGTTGCCCAGTGTTTTGTCACCTTTACCTCTGGTTCTATTTTTGGGGAGATTTCTTCATCATCTCCCTGTCTTCCTATTAGCTTTTTAAAGATTTGACCCTCATTTAAAATTTTTGGAGTACTTCTTCTTTGCTCAGTCTTTTGTTCATAGTATTCTCTTTTATGGATGAACCAGCTCCTGTCCGTGTGTGTTCACAGTCTTACTTGGTTCTCTGCGTTAGCTCTGTTTCCTCTGCAGTTGGTTTTCTTCCTTTAGTCTCTTTGATGCCGGTGGCTCTCCTTACGTGTTTGGTGGCCCTTGGTCATCTGTTCATATGTAAAGTGGGTGAGTAACAGATGATACACTCTCTTTTGCGTAGGTATAGTTCATGTAGAGGCATCCTTTTCTTGGGGATAGTAGATGGGACGTGCACCATTACAGTGGAGAAAGCCCATACTTTGGTTGGGGCCATCCCATTTTTCCAAAGATCTGTGAGGCAGGCATCCATGGTTCTTTGCTGTGGGATCAGTGACTGGCTGTTCCATAGACTAAGTGTCCACCAGTTGCCTGTTTTCAGCCCTGGGTCTGACCACTCTTGCCCCCCACTTTCCTCTGTACCTGGTTTCTCCAAGGACTTAGCCTGAGGGCTCAGAGAGCTAACCCGATTCCATTCTCATCTGTAGCTCCCCTCTGTGAGGACCTAAGGACGTGGTTTCCCTCACACTGCTGGGTCTGTCACCTTTCCTCATGACTGCTGTTCACGGATTTTGTTGAGCTGTCTTACCCCATGATGCCTTCTCTTTTCTTTGCCCTTGCTGATTGATACCTATCTCTGCTCTTTACGATTATTCACTGGGGTCTGGTGATGATCCAGATGCAGGAAGTAAATGGCTGTGCATTGATGTTCCATCTTTATCCACAGGTAACAATTTTCTTTTGTTCAGAAAAGGTTAAAAGCAGTTAATGATAAGGTTTCTTTTGTTCATTGTGAGTAATATGGTCTTTTTAACCCATCTACCTTGTGAGAGTTATGGAAGAATTGCTAATAGGTTGTGTAGAAGAGATCTATTCTTTCTGTCTAATGGCCCAAGAATACTGTTGAGGGTTTGATAAAACAGCATCATCTAACTATGGGCTGTTGATTTCCAACCATATACATATTCAAAGGACACCTTTGATCAGTCTTTTGTCTGTTTTGTGGTGTCCATTCCCCTGCCCTCAACAAGACAAGGAGAAAAAGCACCAAATTCAAGATGGCTTTCTGCAGCTCTTGATTGGGTTCATTGAAAGACCTTAGGAAACTTTGGCCCTAGTGGCCCTGCCCATCCTCCCGTCAGGGACTGGAACTGCCTTTCCCGCCTGGTGCTTCAACTTCTGATGGCAGAGAACTCATTGCTCATCCTTGTCCTCAGGGCCTTGGGTGCTCCAAGTGCTCCATTTAACTTTCTCACTTTAAGGAATTTAGTACAGATTATTGTTTTCTGATTACATACTGTCAAATTTATTTAAAGCAATAATATCTTAAAAATGTGAAACAAGAAAAAATTACCTGTAATTCAGCCACGTGAATAAAACAGCATTTAGTGTTTTCTGTGATTAAACCTGGTATTCCAACCCGTTTAGGTTTTTTTCCAATTACATCAATAATACATGAATAATTTGGATTTAGAAAATTGGCTAAAGTGTTTGGAGGCATATAAGTATTGGCATTTTGTTAACCATTCTTCATGTACCTTTCTTTTTATTTTTTAAACTCCATTCCTAGAACAGGCCAAGTTAAACTGTATTCTTTAGTGATGCACATGTAGAGTTAAAGCAAAAAGAAAGCAAGAAAGTGATGACTTCAGAAGGCAGGAGAGGGTCGTGGTTGCCATGGGAGATGGGAGGGGAGGGTGGGATTTGCTTTTGGTCAGGTCAGAGCAGACACAGCTTCCAGGTTACTGCCAAATATTCTCAGTCTAAACCTGGGTGGGGTGTTGTCAATGTCCACTTTGTTAATTATTTGTTTGTATACGTGGTACATGGACTTTATACTTTTCTTTCATGCATTTCTTTATATATCCCTTCTTCATATACATGAAAAGGATGATACAGATGCAATTTCATATTTTTATTGACTGGTCAGTATTCTGTTAATTACATATTTATAGGGTTTACCCTTTTTTTACTGGGTTATCTATGGAAATTCTTTATGATACATATTTATCCTTTTTGTCGTAAATCTTCTAGATCCTCCCCCTACTGTTTTCCTCTTGATTTGTTTTATGGTATCTTTTGCTACATACAAATTAGTATTTTTGTAGTCAGATGTATTTTATAGCTCTGGCTTAATAAGTCTAACACTTAAATGTTTCTTTAACATTTAAGGGTTCAGTTCATCTTTGTGTATCACATCAGGTAAAGGTTGATTTTCTTTCTCCCGGATGATGATGAGTCCAGCTGTGCTACACCACTTATAAAATAGAACGCAGAATATCCTTTGCTCATGCTACTGAGATACACCACATTCATTTGATTTCCTTTGTGTGTACTGGGTTCTGTTTCTGGATTTTTATTTCTTCCCATTAATCTGATCTATTTCTATGCCATTCATAGATTTCTTTGATATTCAGTGTGATTTATAATGATTTTAAGTAACAGACATACTAAGACACGGCTATATCTTACAGCCACCTGCTTACAGTGTCTAATTCAGTGGTTTTTAATAAATCCATGGAATTGTGCACCTATCCCCACATTCAATTTGAGAACATTTTTATCACCCCCACAAAAAACCCATATTCTCCCCCTCACGCCCTGGCTTTTGATAACCACTCCTCTGCTTTCAGTCTTCATAGACTTCCTTGTTCCTTATATGAATCCACAGTTTATTTATGTGGTAGCATACATCAGTCCCTTGTCCCGTTTAATGTCTGTGTCACGTAATTTCTGTATAAGGAGCGTACCACAGTTCATTTATCCATTCTTTCGTTGATGGGCTTGTTTCCAGTTTGGGTCTATTATGAATAATGTTGTTCCATGTAGAGTTTTGGTGTGGGCATGTGTTTTCATTTCTTTTGGGTGTGGAGTTGGCTGGGTCATGCGGTAACTCCGTATTTAAGTTTCCCAAAGTGGCTTTACCATTTTACATTCCCACCATCAGTGTATAAGGATTCCAGTTACTTCATGTCACCACCAATGCTTGTTACTGTGTTTGTGTTTATAGCCACCTAGTGAGCTATGAATTTTTTTTTTTAAGATTTTTTATTTATTTCTTTGACAGAGAGCGTGAGAGAGGGAACACAAGCAGGGGTAGTGGGAGAGGGAGAAGCAGGCTTCCCGCTGAGCAGGGAGCCCAACATGGGGCTTGATCCCAGGACTGGGATCATGGCCTGAACTGAAGGCAGACGCCCAACGACTAAGCCGTCCAGGCACACCTGAAATGTTTTATTTCTAACCCTTGAAGTGTTTGTATTCTTTCTTTTAAGATTTGTTTATTTTAGAGTGCATGTGGGGGGAGGGGCATAGGGAGAGAGAATCCTCAAGCAGACTCCCTGCTGAGCACAGAGCCCCTTGTGGGGCTCGATTCCAGGACCCTGAGATCATGACCTGAGTCAGAATCAGCAGTTGGATGCTTAACCGAATGAACCACCCAGGTGCCCCTAAATGTTTGAATTCTTATAGAATTTGCTGTCTCTGAGTCTGTGATCAGATATCCTTTATCTTCACTTCTTACTCTTTTTCCTTCTTTTTTTAATGCCTGGTTCAGGAAGAACAGTTAGAAGCTATATTGTCAGCAGCGATCCACACAAGTTGCCTGGGACTTTTGACTGGATGTATCAAAAAGTGGACAAAAGAAGGTAAGATTGTAGTTTTTAATGAATAAAAAATTACTTTTGTATTTTAAATTGTTTAAATGATTAATTCATTTGGGGTTTTAGTTAAACCTTATTTTGAGATAATTATAGGTTCACATTGCTATTTTAAGACATTATTTAGAGAGATCCTGTGTACCCTTTTATCACCACCTTCCCCCCTGCCAGACAGTAGTAGCTCAGTCAGGATCCCCATGTTGTCCTTTTTTATAGCCACACCTACCTCCTCCCACCTCTAACCCCCGGGAGCCACCAGTCTATTCTCTACTTCTGTAATTTTGTCATTGCAAAAATGTTCCAAAATGAAATGATATAGTATGTAACCTTTGGGATCGACTCTTGGGCAAAATTCTTTGGGATTCATCCCAGCTGTTGTGTATACCCCTCTTTAAAAACACACACACCCACATTATTTTTGTTGAGTCATTTGACAATAAGTTGAGGACATCAACGTTTCTGTACTTGTATTATCAGTATTCTTTCCAAGAACAGTCATTACAAAACCACTGTGTACTTAGAAAAATCAGAAAAACATTGAATATGCTATTATCTGATCTCAGACCTTACTGGAATCTTACTGATCATGCCAATAATGTCCTTGGTAGCATTTATAGGGATAGGGAATCCAGGGTGTAATCCAGAATATACTTTGTGTTTAGTTTTTATGTCCCTTTAATCTCTCTTAATCTCATGTAATTCCTAAGCTTTTATCTTTCAAGAAATTGGCGTTTTTAAAGATTTAAGCCTATCATTTTGCAGACAGCCTTTCAATGTGTGTGTGTTAACCTTTCCTCATGATCACATTTTACATTTTTCACAGCAGTGCTACATAAAATGATGTGCTCCTTGCTGTGTTTTCGTACCAGTTTGTTTCTGTTGTGTTGATGTTCACATTGCTCACTTGATCAGCGTAGTCTCTGTCAGGGTTCCCCACTGAAGTTACTAATTTTTTGTTTGTAATTGAGAATTCTTTTTTTTTTTTCATTGATATTTACAAATAAGAACAACCAAATTCTGCGGCTAATCTGCGCTTTGTTCTTGAATGGACATGGAATAAAGTGGTTTTTACAAAAGAGGAATTTGACAGACTGTGTAAGTATTGTATTAAAAAATTAACCTTGGTCTAGGTTTTAAGTACATGACAATTTTAATCATTTTGAAGTTGTAAACTTTTTTTTTTAAGATTTATTTATTTGAGAGAGCGAGAGAGGATGAGCCTTAGGGAGGAGCAGCAGAGGTAGAGGGAGAAGCAGGCTCCCAGCGGGGAGCCCGTTGCGGGGCTCGATCATGACCTGAGATCATGACCTGAGCTGAAGGCAGACGCTTAACCGACTGAGCCACCCAGGTGCCCCTGAACTTGTAATGTAAACTCTTTAAAGAAGTCTCAGAAGAAAACCATTTCTTTTAATATTGGGGTGGCAAAATTGTATTATTTTTGTTTTTAAAGATTTTATTTAAGTGATGGCTACACCTGGCGTGGGGCTCAAACTTATAACCTCAAGATTAAGAGTCACCTGCTCCACCACTGAGCCTGTCAGGCGCTCTAACAGAATTATTTTTTGAGCGAGATTTTGCAGTAGATTGTTAAACGGGCAACATGTTAATATGTCTACAGTACCAAGTTTCAGAGCTATACCTTATCTTTGATCTTAAGAGATTAATTTATGAAGTTTGCTGATGATGGTGTCAGGAGAGTATGGCAGTTGACCTCAGAAGCTCGCCTACTTGCTCATTTTCTATTTAAAATATTTATGAGTATAAAAAAGCTGAAGAGGAGGGCAAAAACTCATTCACCTCTTTCTTCTACTAGCAGATGTCATTATCAGTCATTCAAAGTCATTTTTCTTCTTGACAGTCTTACTTATTCATCTGTTGTCCACTTTGAGTCTTGAGGTGTCCTATAAATATCAAAAACCCATTATGTGCAAAAATAATCGGGGTATAATACGTGATTGCTCTGTACGTGAAAGTATAATTTGTTTATTTAGAAGTATATGTTTTTGTAATTTCTATCATTGTGTCAATGATGAATGAATAAGTGGACTTTTTAAATAAGTTATTCTTAGTAGAGAATCTACTACTATAGACATAGGGTTCTATGGTAGTTTTAGGCCATACTTACGAAACTTATAAACATGAAATAATTTAAAATATTTAATCACTTAATACAGTTGAAGTGAGAAACAAACACCTGGTAATTCAGAGTCAGGGCAAAAAAAATGTATTTTTTTGAGTGGAAAATATTTTCAGGACTGGTAATGTAATTCATGTAAGAAAAGAAAAATACTCAGATCAGTTCATAAATTGTATGCCTTTGTTATACTTTGAGCCATAATGTGGTACTTCAGGTTTGGACCTGGTAACTCAGCCACTCTTGCTGCCTTGAGCTTCGTTACTGGTTAATGGAGTTTCTTTTAAAAAACCTAAATGTAATTAAAATTCAAAGCATAGTATTTTAAATGTATTGGAAGTAAAACAAATCCATTTGGTTGAGGAAGGATTTCTAATTATGTTTTCTGGTTTCCAATTACCCATTAAATATTAATGTGATTAAATCTTACCCAAAAGATGTAACCAGTAGCAACTAAAATACCCATTTTTTCCGGAAAAATGAATTTGTAAACTCATTGTTGAATTTAAATGAAAGGACAACCAAGTCTACAATGAATTGTAACAAGCATGCAGTTTTATTATCATAAGTCTTTATCTGGGTCTTAATTTTTAATGTCTCACTTTGAAGGCTGGGGGTGGAAAAAGTGCTCTTATAAAATCATGACAAGACAACATGGCACATAAAAGATCTGGTATGAAAGATTTTTATTTGAGGGAGAAGCATTTAATGAATAGACCTCATTTCTAGTCAGCCTGAAGTGGACTCCATATTCCCTTCCTCTGCTCACATTGTTTACCTCGTTCTGCATCTTAAAAAACTAGGATAGGGATTTGTATTTGTCCCTTCTTGGTTTCTTGAGGTTATTTGCCATTTCTACCGTGTTTTTGTAAATCTCATAATGTAGAGTCTGATTCTGTAGTTAATAAGAGTTTGAGAAATTTTGCATTTATGATTTTAACTAATTCAGATTTATTGTGTCAGAACTAACCTAGTATTTCCTCCCGGAAAGGTACACCGTTATTTGATGGCTCGTGTCGTTTCGCCGACCCGCAGACCATCCAGGCGCTCCAGCAGTGCTACTTGCTCCTCAGCAACCTTAATTCCGTCTTAAACTGTTTTACCACAGAGGCCCAAGAGATCACGGAGAGAGGTGTGCTCTTTATGTGATAGGAATGAGCTTTTATTTAAATTTTACTTCGAGAAACAATAAACTTCCATGTCTTAGATGCATCACTATGCAGAGAGGCCTTTTTAATTTTAACTTTTTAAATGGAAACTAGAGAATGTTATTAGATACGCCATGAGCCCATGCTGAAGCAAGCTTGGGAAATTTGCGGGTTAAACTGCCAGTGAACGTAGTATACGTACTTCCAGTGGAGTTTCACATTCTGAAAGTTTATGTAAGTTTTTATTCACAGAAGTCATTGTAAGTGTTTGTCTCTGTTTTGCCATTTAAACAAAAGAGGCAGTTTCACTTAAAGGCCCGGTTTGAACAACCTATATTGATATATTATCGTGCTAGTTTGTGTTAATGTCTACATTTGACTTCTGAAACTAGCTAAATGGAAATGTAGCTTAGGTGGAAGCATATTTACCTAAAATACCTACTTAGTGAGTTACTTTAGCATTTTGGAGGTTATTTGTTCAGGCTAAGTGTGTTTAAAAATACACATAATGCTGTTAAAAGTCGCCAAATAATTCGATTTTGGGAACTGTCCAGGGTCTTGATTTTTCATGTGTGGTTAATAAATTGAATGTTACACAACTGGTGTTTCATCCTCACAGGCCTCATGGACTTGCACAAAAAGTGCCTGGTTACCCGGCTCATCTGCCAGTACACACAAGTGGTGCTTTGGTTCTGTCATTCTGGGCTTTTACCGGAGGGCGTAGGTAAAACATTTACTTAATCTGTAGATATTAGTGGAAACATTCTCAAATCTCTGTCATTTGGGGTTTCTCATTTTCGGATTTCCTTTCTTCCACCATCCCTCTTACATTTTCTTCTAGTCTTACATTCTTTCTCACGTTGTATCTCTAGTTTCCTGCTCCACACCCGATGCACAGGTGTTCCATACATGCATATTGGGCCGAATGACATAAAAGGAAAGAATATTTAACAAAACATGGTTCTGAAAAAGGGTTCAATGATACCATCAGCTATAAATTAGATCCATTCAACTGTGGGTTTTATAATCTAGTTTGCCGATCTTTTTCTCCTTAAGAGTTCTTTTAATATGCTTATTAACCAAGATTATTTGCCATCAGTTGGAATACCTCTTTTCATCTAATAATTTGTGCCAATACCAAGAATTAGGGAATTTGACTTTTGCTCTGCTTATGTAGAACACTTCTAAGGCCTCTAACTTCTTGCATTTCCAGGGCACATGTTACATTCTATTGAGAAGCACTTCTGTCCCTTTGCTAATTGCCGTTAACCTTACTTTTTCATTATTCTCTTTGATTTTTACTTAAATAGTGAATACTGCTTGCTTTTTAATTATCATTTGAAATTAAGGAAGTGACTAAGGATTAAGGGGGTAGAATCATTTCTGGAATAGCTTTTCCAGAGTTTTAAGCCAGCATCCTTGTTTTTACCGACTGTTGTGAGAGACTCTGTTTTCTCGTTTGTATATCTATTAATAAAGTTTTCTCGTTTGTATATCGTTTGTATATCTATTAATAAATAATCTAAAATAAATTAATAAAAGTAAATAATTAAATTTAGGAAGCCTGCAGACTAAACAACATCATGCAATTATAGTAAAATATTAATGTGGGTGACCTTAGGTATTGTTGAGATATTTCAGAAATATTACTGACTTTTTTCCCGACTCTTAAAAAATTCTAGATGATGCTGTGCAGTTGTCCAGGTTGTACTACAACTACCCTGTAATTCAGAACTACTATACCAGTCGTCGACAGAAGTGTGAGCGTCTGGCAAGGTACCTTACAGAACCTTCCAAAACCTCTTAGAAGTTACTTTTTTAAGAAGTCATCGCTTTCTCAGAATTCATCATGCTACAGAAAGATGAAATGCGTGGAATTCTTAAGTGACAGAATCTGTTAACAGCATTATTATTTTAGTTGTAACGTTTGTCTGTTTGCCTTGACCTAATGGTTACACCTTTATTTGATAAGTTGAGTGTGGCTACTCAGTATTTCCTAATTAAGAGTAGTTACCACAGTTGATTTATTAGAGGAGATTCTGTCACTTAAGCACATATTTTTCCTGAGGATTCTTATTCAGAAAAGGACTAAAAGCTCCAATTCATTAGAAAACCATGAAGCATACCACCAGTTAGGCTTTTTACGTTCTTTCCATTAACAGTTGCATTTCAGGCCCTTCAACCACTGTTTTCTTGTTTTCTTTGTCTTAATTCCTCTATGTCTCCTTTTTAAAATAAATAAATAAAATACACGAATGTTAACCTCATTGGTTCCTTTGAAATAAAGAAGCAGAGATAATAGAAGAAAGAGCAGTGATTAGTCATCTTCCTCAGGTGGGAATTGATGCTTGTAGAACAGCGTGCAGCATTGACAGTAGTGGTTCACGAGCGTGGACGTCAGGCATGTTGTAAGAATCCCCCAGAAATCAGTACTTAAAAGGCTGTGCTGGCTATAATTTGGTGTGTGGCAAGTTTGGGGTCCAGTGCTTTAGAAGAAGTAATCTCAGAGACTGAGCACAGACTTGGGAGATTTATTAGGCATTATTTATTTTTTAAAGATTTTATTTATTTGAGAGAGAGTATGCATGCAAGCAGAGGGAGGAGGAGAGAGAGACTCTGAAGCAGACTCTCTGCTGAGTGCGGAGCCCGACGCAGGGCTCCATCTCACGACCCTCAGATCATGACCCTAGCCAAAATCAAGAGTTGGACGCTTCCTGGGTGGAGCCACCCAGGCGCCCTATCAGGCATAATTTAAAATTATAGATCTGTTATTTCCTAAGTGTGTGTCCCTGAATGGGTTTGCTAAGCTTTCTAGTCCTGCTTGTCACATAAGTTACGCAGTCCATATAAATAAAGACGGAGCAGTGGATGCGGTACCTGACTCAGGAAGTAGGAACTGCCGCCGCCTGGTGGTTAGTAGATGAGGAGGCAGGGACAGTATCTGCTGACCACCGTGTAGGCGCTCGGTGATACGTTCTTGAAGGAATCACTGGGTCAGAAGACTTAGGTGGTGAAAGGGAAATCATAGCTCTTTGACTTTGCACTGTAGCATATTTATACCCGACTGGCTGCCACGCTCTTGGGCTTTTGCTCCAGAAGGTAAAACTGAGTGTCGCCTCAGGAATCTGGCAGCTGGACCATGCTCTCCCTGGGGACCTGACCTGCGCGCATGGGCTTGCTGATGACCAAGCCTGAGGCCTCTGCAGGGTTCATCTAATTCTTATTGGTGACTGGACTTCACATGATGCTAACTGGGGTCCTATTCTCAACTCTCTTCTCCTTTGGATTGTGGAGATCAGTAAGAGTTTGGAATTAACACGAATAATGAATAATCCCGAATGTCACCCTTTCTGCAGAGGGAAGTGGAGCCCTGATTGCTTGATGATTGACGAAATGGTGTCTCAGTTAGGAGATGGCGTTGAGAGGTTGTGGAAGCGCGATGAAGGAGGCACGGGAAAATACCCTCCGTCTAGTCTGCATGTATGTTCGTGACCACACGCTCCCCCATGAAGACCCTGCAGGGTTGCCAGGGGCAGTGGGGACATGGTTAGCGGTATTGTTCCCACCCGGCACAGGCTTGGGGAAAATGGGGAGCGTGAATGAACGAACATATAAAACACACTGAATTTTTTATCCCTTTTACAGGCATTGCTTGACATATACCTACTGGACGACGTCACTGAAACAAGCAAACATGCTGTTGTATCCTTTAAAACACTCAAATAATTCATGTATTACCGACATCATAAAATTTGAGAGTAATAGGAACCTCGCACTAATTAATCTAATCTCAGTTGCACATTTGCAGTTTTTTTAAAGGAAGGTTAACCTAGGGTCTGTTGGTTGGGTTCAGATGGTCTATGGCAAACCTGAAACTATGCAGAATTTAGTTTTAGGTTTAATTTTCTAGGGATAGGATCCACAGCTCTCATCAGATTCTTGTGTGTGTACAGGACATCATCAGAGTTACCAACAGCAGTTCTGAAACATTGGCCAAATGGTCTTTCTTTTTCTTTTCTTTTTTTTTTTTTACGATTTTATTTATTGATTTGTCAGAGTGAGCACAAGCAGGGAAAGTGGCAGGCAGAGGGAAAAGCAGGCTCCCCACTGAGCAGGGAGCCCGACATGGGACTCGATCCCAGGACCCTGAGATCATGATCTGAGCTAAAGGCAGATGTTTAACCCACGGAGCCACCCAAGCGTCAGATGGTCTTTCTTAATGAGGTTAACTTATGTGTTCAATACGAATACATGGTAAGTTAGTTTAGTATTACCTTAGGCATCGGGTCTGACCCAGTGGTATTTGCAATAATATTTTTGTACTGATGGTCAGTTTTTTAATTTAAAAATGTAGTTCCAGGGAGCTGGGTGGCTTAGTCGATTAAGCATCTGCCTTTGGCTCAGGTCATGATCCCGGGGTCCTGGGATAGAGTCCTGCATCAGGCTCCCTACTCAGCGGGAGTCTGCTTCTCCTCTCTGTGTCAAATAAATAAATAAAATCTTTTTAAAAACTATGTAGTTCCATTCATAATTTATAAGATACGTGATGTGTTTGCTTAAGCTGTTAGGTTTTGCTGATAACTGGAATTTTGTCTGTAGCTCTGTCTCTTCAGTTTGCTAATAAGCTACTGACTTCATGAAGAAAGTAGGCTTTTGTTCATCTCTTGTGGTGGTACTTACTGTTGAGAGTGAATGAAGTTGCTTGTAGGACTGGCTGGACCTGCATTTAATAAAATTACCATACTTGGATATCCATTCTGGCTTATAGAATCCTAAAAGCAGTCTCTTCAAGCCTCTTTGCTGCTCTAGTCTGTTGCTACCTAATATAAGTAGATATATGTAGGAGATTTTCTTCTTGTTATTGTCCTTAATCCTCTTTCTTAAAGACCATTTATTTGTTGCTTGATATTATGTATTCCTTCCCAAACAAAACAGATACTTGCATTGAATCATTTCCCACTGCCTTTGCCATTCCTTGGGGCCAGGTGAAACTTATTCAAGGGTTTTGGCTGATAGATCATAATGACTATGGGGTAAGTCTGTTCACTTAGAATGTAAACTTTCATAAACAGATTTCAGAAAGAAGTACATAGCTGGGTTAAATGTGGTATTAAAGATATGATACAGTCTACTTCTGGAGTAATTTACGGACTCAGTTCAGTCATTAACCTTTACCAAGCGCTATCGTAGGCAGCAAGAATACGAAGATGAAACAGTTCAGGACTCCAGATCCCGTCCTGTCTAAAGAAGAAAATAAATAATAAACAATTACTAATAGTGCAAATACGGCGATTGTTCTGTTAGAGACACGTTTGGTGTGTTGCTGTTAGAAGGCAGGGCTTGGCGCTGATGTATGACGTTGGTGGGCAGAAAGATATTACATCATAGCCCAACAAAGCCTCAGAAGAATGGGGCTTTTGATAAGGCTTTTATTTAAAATCAAACATACCATGGATTAAAGAAGATCTTTACAGGTTATGTTTAAATCGTTGTTTGTGGCTTTAGTGTTGCCCGTCTTTAAAGGCTGGTTACTTTGTCAAAGTGCAGGAAATTATATTTGCATTTAGCAGTTTTTGTGTCCTTTTGCAGAGTGGCTTGGATCTCCTGTTTCACCCAGCTACTGTGAAACCTGTGTCGTGGCAACATTCAAAGATTATTCAGGCCTTTATGAGTCAGGGTGAACACAAACAAGCCCTCAGATACATTCAGACGATGAAGCCAACCGTGTCCAGCGGTGATGATGTTACCCTTCACCTCACCGTTTTGCTTTCTAATAAGTAAGTACCTGTTTTGAAAATACGATCAAATTCTTGATCGTATATGTTAAATAAAGTGCAATTGATGAAACAGCAATATATAATATTTTGCTTTGGTTGCATTACATAATATTCTTAGGATTCTTTATCTGTCAATGTGAGGAAAAACATAAAAAACCTTTTATCCTAGAATAGGATGAAGAAGGAGTACCCTTGAATAAAAGGGGAAAGCAAACTGAGACTTGAAAATTATATCTGTTGCTAATTGGCAATGTGGACAGTCTCCCATGTGGGCGGTTGAGGTTTGAGTATGCTGAAAAGGAGCTAAAGATAATAGGGAAAGGATAAAATCCTATTGAGTTGTAAAATCAGGTTTTGTATCTTAAATACTTGAACCAGATTTGAGCAGGTCCTGTCTTTACATTGCTTTTTTTCCCTATGCCATATTTTAATGTTCTCTAATCAGCATGATATATTTCCATTTATATTATAGCAGTATATATATTACTGCAGTTATTTGTCATATATGTGACAGCTATGACGAGTTAAATGTCATGATTGGAAATACAGTGGTCTGTTTACTGGGTTTTTTGTTAACCTAATTAGTTGGGGAAATTGCTTGGAACTAATGCTTCTTACTAGATTGTAACTTTTATACAACTCACTGTTTTTTGGTCAGTTCTGTTAGTTGGTCACTTTTATAATTTTTAGAAATTGGTTGCTTTTCTCACCCCAGATTGTCGTTTATGAACCAACACCATTTCAGCGTCAGCACTCTGGAAGTTTAGCTTTCTTTGTTCTTTTAATGTATTTCTGAGAGGAGAAGGTTGAATCTCCCAAATTTCAGCTAGAAGAGGAGTTATGTAGTATGGTAATGGGTTGGCTAGACAGGTAGGACATTGCCAGTGTCCTCAAAAGTAATCAGTTAGGAAGTACTTGTTGAAATGAAATAACTTGGATTAGCCACAAGTGTTTGGCTAGCTGAATAAATCTGGAATGAACATAACAGCAAAACAAAATTTAAAGATGCTAGTGGTGATAGAGATTTAATAAATGGATTAAGAGTCCCAGTACTGGGTAGTCAGGCAGCATGTAAACTATTTTGAGTTGTCTATAAGCTGCTCACTCTACTGACTTGAAACAGGTGGTACTTGATCACTGATGCTTACATCAAAAAAACAGATGTTGGAACCTTGGAAAAACACCTTTGAAAGGTTGCTGGTTTTTCCTCTACAATCCTGTTGTCCTTCGATTCATGCACAACACATTTCTCTGGTTTGCTAGATCCTCATTCCCTCTCCTTTAGCTATAGCGAACATTATATATTAACGTTTACGATAACAGAAACATACTGCGTGATTTCTAAACCTGATTTGTCTTAAGTAAAGGCTCAGTTACCTAGTCTTGAAGTGTCCTGTAGAGGACACACAGAAGTAAAACCACAGGGCCACCTAAAATGGTGTTTGTTGAGATGATGTGGGTTCAGACTCGGTACAGGGGCTGTTTCAGACCACTGCAGCCAAGTGAGTCAGAGGAGTTTTGTTTCCTAGAGCATATGAAAGTTACACTTTTGGAGTATGTTGATGTTTACACAGGAACGTACGTCAGCCTGTCTCTGCTGCTGTATTACCGAGAACCCCTGTGCACTCCTTAATGAAAGGACTTTTACTGCCAGCACACTAGTCTAGCCTTTTATCAGTTGAAATAATTTTCTTATTGCTCTTCCCACCACCATGGTTTTCTACCATAGGAAGCAGTAGAGTAATGGGAATTTGGGGGCTTTCTTATTTTTAAAATTTATGTTAGTGTTGGCAGTGGAACAGCCTTGCTTGAAGTTGGAGATAGCTGTATCTCCTACTGGAGGGGAAATGGGGAAAAACATTATCATTTGCCCTTTGCCTTCAAGTATACTCTCCTGGTAGATTAATATTTGATAAGTCATAAATAAATCTATCTTACTCTTACTGTTATATTTGTTCAGCATCATACTTTAAAGTGGAAAATGTCCATGGACTGGTGGGCAGAGGAGGGTCAGGAATTTGGTTTTTTGTTTTTTGTTTTTTTTTTTTCAATAGTAAGATATTTACATGCTTCAGAAAGGTTCAGAAGGATACACCGTGCATTTCCAGCCTCCTATGCTGCTTCTTGGTACCCAGTCAGTGTTAAATAATTTCTCGTGTATCCTGCCTAAGAAGTTGTGTACATATGTAAGCAAATGCATCTATGTTTCTTCCCACCCCTACTTAAAACCCTTCCCCCCACATTTTGAAAAGCACTTGCTAGCATTTAATGAACCTCCCTCCATGTGGCTTCAAGCTACTGGGACACAGCCAGTCGTCACCCCCACCCCCCCCACGTCCCCCCTTACAACGACCTTCATCTCCTCAGCTCTTCTCCTGAAGAATTTGCCCCTCACGATAGCAGGCTGCTTGGGGAGCTTTCCTTCCCCAAAACTTTGTAGGAGTCCGATCACAGCACATCAGTGATGGGAGCAGCTCCAGGCTTGTTTCTGGCAGCATTTACCCTTCAACATCCACCCCCCCCCCGCCACACACACACACACACACACACACACACACACTTAAAATACAACAGCACATCTATGTCTTGCTGCAGTGTACTTTTTTCTTCTATTTAATTTGGATTTGATTTCATAATAGGACAAAAAGAGCTTCCCTACTGTTGACTATTGCGTAGTAGTTCCTCGTGATGTGTCTGTATTTATCGAACTAGCTCCCCTTCGTGAACATTTAGGTGTTTTCCAGTCTGTTGCCATTTTAACCACTGCCGTGAGTAATCACACATTTTGCTCAGGTGCAGATTTAGTTTGTAAGACATAAAACTCTAAAAGTGGAATTACTGGGTGAAGGGACATTTACAATTGTCATTTTGATAGATCACGGCACACGGCCCTCGTGAGGGTTAGGCCACTTCGCCCCCATCACCTGTGCCGTTCAGGTGGTGTTTATTTATCTGATGGGTGAAGGTGGTAATAGTCATAGGTTTCGTCTCACCATAATAATAATCTTTTCATAAAGATGCTATTTCCTTCTTGTGACCTGCCCATTGTTTCTTTGTGTGTTGTTGAGATTATTCTTCCTAACTTGTTAGAGCTCTTTATGTTACAAATACTAATCCTGAGATTTTTTTTTTCCTCTTGTTTGTCATTTGTCTTTTTACTTTGTTTTAGAATGGATTTTACTATGCTGAAAATCATGAAGTCAGAATTATCAGTATTTTCATTTGGCTTTATGTCTTTTTTTTCACTTTAATGTCATTATTTTTTAGTTTTCTCATGGTATCTGCTACCACTTTTATGGTTTTTGTTTTATCCTTTAGGTATTGATTGATCTGAAATTTATTTTGGTGAAGGCATTTTAAAAGAAGATTTCAGTGTACACTACAGAAAACTAGAATAGTATGGTGAAGGTTCCATATACCTGTCCTATGTCAGATTCAACAAATAGTGAGATTATGTCATAACTACTTCATCTATACGTATGTTCATATGGTTTCTTTTTAATTTATGGTGATATAGTATTTATCCTTCTTATCTATTTTTCTATCTATAAAAATGTTGTGCTCCTTTTAATACTCCCATATTCCTTATGTAGGAACAAAATTACCCCCTAAGACACTCAGGTTTATAACAACCATACTCTCCTGCCTGTTCTGGTATGGGGTGAAGAACAAGGCAATTTTAGATTTTTAGGGATACCCGTAAATGTGTTACTTATTTGGGTTCTTGACCTTAGTAAGTCCTGTAGAATATGTTAAAATACTCTAGTCCCAAGACAATAAAATGAACAGCTGGCCCCGCCTGGCCTGTCAGCAGAGGGAGCCCTTTTCTTCTCTGAGGAACTTGGTATCCACAGGAAGTCCAGGTCGGTGCTGCGAGAATTTCCTTCCATGCATTTTCATGCTGAATATTAATTGGTGTGATTTTGTTCACATATTCTGTGTTTCTTATATGTGTGTTAGTTATTTATTAACAAGTCTTTATGTCAGTGTTTGTGACTATTTCAGTAACCATAGCTAAAGCTTTTTTATGAAGATGTCCATTGAAATCAAAATTGTGTGTTAACTTAGAATTAGATAAAAGATGATTTTTTTAAGAAAATTATTTCCCTGATGCTCGTATGTAGGTGCCATGTTTTTATTCTACCCTCCACTTCAGCCCTAAAGTTATCAGCCCCTCCAAAAATTCTGACAATTTTAGTGTCTTTCAAGACATTTTGTTATCTAATTAAGTAAATAAGCACATAAACATTTATAGGCTTTGTTTGGTTAAGTTTTTACAATTATAGTCACTGTTGATAATTTGAAGCTTGCTTTTTTTTTTTTTCTTAACAGTATGTCATGAGAAACACTGCTTTGTTTGATGTCTTACTGCCCGCAGAAGACAGCATCTCATGGTCCCCACATGGTGTCTAAAACTCCCTAATTTAACCCGTGTTCTCCAATCAGATCTTGCTTATAGATCAGTCAGAATATTCTTTGAGCTCAGCCTGTCGCCATCCCATAAACACAATGTTGCTTGTGTAGGTCTTTGCTCACTGCCCCTTACACTGCTCTCCCACTGGGCGTGCATACGTAAGGGCCTGGCTTTCTCCGCCACACCACACCACAAACGTTCGTTTGTGTCTTCTCACTCCCGTGTATGCTCTGTGCTTTCCTGTCGCACACTCCACTAATGATCCAGAACTGCCTCACACAAACTCTGCTCATTGAGATCAGCAAACGTCATGATGCCATGATGCGTGTTTAAGAAAAGCTCAGAGTACTTCTGGATCACACAGAGTGTCATTGCGATTCTGTAGGTCGATCACTCATTTTGAATGCCTCCAACAGCTTTTCTAACACTAGGCCTTGTGGACACTGTTTCAGGTACATGGTGGAGGCCTGGACGTTCCTGCGGCAGCACTCCACCAGTCTGAACGTCGAGCAGCTCCTGACACACACGTACAAGGTCTGCCAGGAGACGGGCCTCATGGAGGACTTGCTGAAGCTGCCTTTCACAGACCTCGAGCAGGTAATGACGCCCCAGCATCCACTTGGTGGAAATGCAGCGGAAGTGAGTAGCTGATGAGTGTTTTTCGTTCTTCTTAGGACTGCCTGGTGAAATTTTTGCAGTCCAGCACCAACATTCGGAATCACGAATTCCTTCTCGTTCACTATCTGCAGCGTGCCAATTACGTTTCTGCCCTGAGGCTGAACCAAACTCTGAAGACCAATTTTTCGGTATAGTGAAACATGTTTCATTACGGGGGACAAGAGAGTAAGGAGAGGTGCTACTTTTGTTGTGTGAGAGTTTCTAGTTCAGTAACCACTGGGTTCTTCGTACCCTCTTGAGCTTGGAGAACCCTCGTCTGACCTTCTTTAGCACGTTGGGAACAGGGCATTATTATTACTTAACCTAATTCTTTTACATATGCCATTTCTATTTAGACAACTGCCCACAGTCTTGCCAGACTAACCACTTCACTCAGGGGGAACGAGAAGAAGAGGTAGAGGAGCAGTGGGAGTTACATAGTGCTCAGACGGATTCTTTTTTGTGCTTTGCTCTTGGAACACATTCTCTGAGCCTTGGTTCTTCATCAGTAAAATGACAGTATCTCTTTGTGGGGATGCGCACAGGTGTTTCTGAGGTGATCTGTCGCCTGAACCGTGTAGATGCTTGGTACATGATGATCATTGTTGCTAGTCGTGGTGAAGACTCGAGCCTGGGGGGAAGAGGGGGAACTTACGGATGGATGAGGACTGATAATGCAGTCAGGTGTGTGTAGGAGGTCCTTGGTGTGGAAGAATGAATATGTAGGGAGAAAGAAGATAGTCTTAGGTATTCAGAATTATGTTTTAAATGGTAAATACATAAACATAGCGCTTTTGAAGATTAAATTTTTACCAATGACGGCATGTTCAATAGAATGATCGTGATCCTCGTTTGCGGGAGAGATCAGAGGTTCGAAATGCTATAGTAGAGCAATATGGGAAAGTCCTTCCTAAAATCCAGCGAAGATTAGCCATTGAGCAAGCTAAGCCTTACCATCTGTCCACATCACCTGTTCTTCGAGAAGGTAAGATTTGATTGAAGACTATCATAAAGTACTGGGTGAGAAAGGACATCAAGTGATTACCCCCTGAAACCATTGTTCTTTTATATTTAGCTCACTTTTGCTTTGATTCATTACTATGGTGCCTTTTTTTTTTTTTTTTTTTTACTGGGCCACTCCCACCAAATGTAATGCTTTCTTGGAGGATTTTATAGTTGATTTAGCAATGTAGTACAGAATAAAAAACTCATTTTATTTCACTTGGACACTCCTGTCCAACTGTTAGAGAACATGTACAGTAATTTTTTCACTGCCTCCAAAAGCCCCAAGTTGTTACACTTCTGCATAGATGTTGCTGAACTAAGTATAACCTGTAACTGCTTATCTTGTAAGCCCTGTGTCCCAGTCCCTCTTTCATATTCATCTTCTAGTAAAATCCTGGTGTTAGGAAATTAAACCCTGCATTCTTCACCTTACAGTTTCTAGACCCCAACCATTGTCCACTGTTACAAAGCAAGCTGCAACAGGGGCTGTGTTAACAAGATCTGCTTTCATCAGTAATGTGTTGTCTAAAATTGGAGAGATTTGGGCATGTACTGAACCTAAAGGTGGCACCTCAGCCCACAAGAGGTACGCTTTCCTTACACCTGTTAATGGTCTTGCCACTCATTAATCTTTCCCCGGTATCAGAAGCGGTCATCAACCATCCAGCCTTGGAGTTTATTAGTCTGTGTAAAAAGGAAAAACTCCTCTATGTTGACTTTTTATTGTAAGAAGAATTTTTTTTTGTCTTTAACTTTAAAAGCAATTATATTTATTGTAATTTGTAAATAAGCAGAAATGTACAAAGTAAAAAGTGAAAGCACTCCTCTCCAACCTAATCCCACCTTCTTAAAACGTATTTTAATACTCTTCGTAGTACATGCTGAAAAGTTACATTTTTATTTTCTTTGTAGTCCTAGAAGAGAACCATCTCCTCTTCCACATCCACAAGTGCCTGAGGCATTTGTTGGAACACCAATTTTAAAAGCATCACAAAAGGTTTCTAGGTAAGACTTAGTTAAATCATTTTAAAATCACAATGTTAGACAATTACACTGTCATTTTTAATTATCTTTAAAATGTTACAGTATTTTAAATTCTTGAGTGAGTTTTTAATGATTTTTTAATGCTTTTATTTATTTTTTTTATACAATTTGGGAAGTAGTGTAGTAATTTTAGCACCAGCTGCTAACCTACTTAGAATTTTGGCTTAATGATTTCAGACTGCTTAGAGAAAAGAAGCAAACTTTGTTTTATTAAAAATCATGAGCAAAGTAAACTATTAACTTGCTGCTTTTCATATCACTTCCTTGTTGATTGATCCCTGAATGGAGGTTATTTTTAGAATTCGTAACTAATCTTGGTCAGCTCATTGAAATTTTCTCCTGTACAAGAGAGCCCACTAAAATGCCTTCCGTGGCTTCAGATCAGTAATACTTGCACGACTTAAACTGTGGTATTAGAAAAGTAAATAATTAAGTCAAAGTTTTCCATCCAAGATGAAATTGTGATTATATTTCATTTAAGAATATTGGATAGTTGAAATAGGTGTTCATATTCTCAATATTAGAGAACAAACAACTGTCTCCTAATGTTTGCTTCCTTGTCTTTAATAGCATGCTCCTGATTATTATAAATTTCAAGAATAAAATTGCATTACTTTTGAGAATAAAATGATCTGAATTTATGATAGAATAAGGTACTCAGAATAAGTTAATATTTACAAACAGTTGGAGCCAAAGCTGTTTAGAGTGGGCATATTTTGAAAGCATGAAAGGGTTTTCTGTTTGGGGGATTTGGATTTAATTAGATTGATGTTGTTTTCCTTTAATTATCAGGAAGATTATTTCAAATAAGAGTCATTATTATTATCATTCTGTTTTCCTAGCAGTAGTGTTCCAGTTTTTCCCCACAAGTCACTTTTTCTCAGTCCCTTTGTACTTTAATAGATCTGGGGTTCAAGAAGGGAGCAATAATAAAAGTTTTCAGATTCATGACTAATGGCCTAAGGACCTAAAGAAAAAGAAGTATTATGAGAATCCTACAAAGCTATGATTAACTCAGATGGAAGAAAGTCAATTGAGGTGTGAATATTTATTTTTATAGAAATCATTCCATTCCCTAATGCTGTTTTTCAAACTGGTTTGCATTAGTGGGTAGTAAGTAAACTTGATTGTGACTAGCATATCTTTCAGTGGAATAGCAGAGGTGACATCACTGGGCACTGCGTATAGTAAGGCTACGTGCTGTTTGTGCAGTGTATGTTTTGTGTAACGCATTACTAATGTGTATCATGCTCAAAGATTTGTGGAAATCCTAAGATCTGATGCAGTATTTAACATTTTTAAAGAAAATATAATAAAAAATACTTTTCCTGATAATTGTTTTAGTATTTAGTGTTTAGAAGTATTTTATTAGTATAAGAATTTTGTTTTTACTCAGTAGGTACCTTTGTTGGACAGGCCCTGCTTTTGAGAAGCAGTCATTCATAAATGATTGAACACCTTGAACATGAATACCAACACAGTGCGAGGCAATTAACAAAATTCCAATTTGGGATAGTTCAGTATAAAAGTGAGCACACGGTTTACAAATACAGATTTTGAATACAAATGAGGTAGAGAAGGAAAAGAAGAATTAGAACAGACAATAAAGAAACAAATGTTAGTGGCCTGATGGGATATTTTTGGTTTGGTGGAAATCTAAAGCTGTGTTTAGTACAGAATAACAAGCAGTAAGGATTAAGGAAATGCTTCCTATAAATATTTCCCACTGGGCACCAGATTGGGTCTTAAAGCACCCATTTCTGCTTATTTACAAATTACAAATGCCATCCCATTTGTGAGGAAGGACAAGGAAGGTACAGCCATGGGGGGTTTTTATTCCTGGGCACCGGGACATGCTGGACCTTTCTGGTCATTTTCAGCTGAACCACAGAGCACAGAGTCATTTGGGGGAAGTAAAAATGTATTGTTTGTATTGCTAGGAAATAGACCATTATTCATTAGGAAATTGCCTATGCAAAGGATCCATCAGAAATTGTAACCTGAAAATTTCACTTTCAAGTTTAAATTCTTTATCTGCGAATTAAGTTTTTAAACTCTTGGGACTATGCATGCTTAATACAAGTTATCAATGAGATTAGTTTTATCATTTGTATGAACTACATCCAGGACATTACAGAAAACCATTCAGCAGAATCTGGAGATTCCATTTTGTCACTGACCTCATTAATTTGAAAAAATTAACTTTTTGTGTGTGTTCGTGCTCAGTTTTTTTGCAATAAAAACCATAAAGGTAAAGCAAACCAGTATTATGTACGTCACATGTAGATAAAAGGAATTTTTATGTGTTCGTAAAGAATTACAGCAAATGAATTTATTTTATCAGTGAATATTGGTGAGAGGGAGGGCGGGGGACTAGAGCTTTTTTTTTTTAATTGTTATCTAGAATTCCTAATTCTCAGTTTTAATACTGAATTAATTTTCTGACTTTTTGAAGTAATGGCATTATATTAATATCCTGACTGAACTTATAATTTCATGTGGTTACCATACTTGCCAGTGAATATAGAAGTCTAATTACATGGCATGATAAATTTTGGGGGGTTTTTTTCACCATAACTCGATAAGTTAGTTACCTGGGTCTTTCTGTGTACTGTGTGTGTGTACTGTGATTACAGACCGCTGGATCTGGTTGTTCATCCTGTGCGCCAGCCTTGTCAGCGTTTGGGATTTATTCAGCAAACCCCCAAAAGATCTCCTTTATACCCGGCGTCCAGTTCATTGTTCAAAGGATCACATCACAGTCCCTCCAGGACTATAGAATTACGTGTACTTGAAACTCCTTTCGTGGTGAAGGTGAGTATTGTATAGCTCACGTTCATAGTGAAGCTAGGAAGTTCTCACGTGTCAAGCAGCAGAGAGAAAAAAGCTATCTCTAACTGATATCTCTGGGTAATGGACAGCATTAAGCCTGTTTGGGGGGAGTTACCTTTGCATAATGTTTATTGTATCTTTACATCTTCTTAAATAGGATTTTACTACATTTACCTTTTGTGCTTACCTGATGTACTCAAGGTTAACAATTACATCATTGTTCTGAGGGTAATCCAAGTCTCTGTGGTTATTACAAGTTGAAACCTTAAATTAAAACCTTTGAAAAAAAGCTTTCACATTCTTGGGTTTGCCCCCCCCCCCCGCCATTTCTGCTACCATTTTGCTGTTTCTTCTTCCTTCTGTCATATGCTTTTATTTTTTTTTTATTGTTTTAAAGATTTTATTTTTTATTTATTTGACAGAGAGAGATATAGCTAGAGAGGGAACACAAGCAGGGGGAGTAGGAGAGGGAGAAGCAGGCCTCCCGCGGAGCAGGAAGCTGGATGCGGGGCTCAATCCCAGGACCCCGGGATCATGACCTGAGCCGAAGGCAGACGCTCAACCGACTAAGCCACCCAGGCGCCCCTCTGTCATATGCCTTTAGTTCTCTGGTTTCTTTTTTTATTTATTTAAATTCTCTCCTTTGATGAAACTGCACTCTGTTACTCCTTCTTACTAGCAGTGTATCTGTCTTAATTCGTTTTCCTCCACCATCTCTGATAAATCATTAGCTGAGAAACCACAAAACTAGACTTGAGGTGGCGGGGAGTGGGCGCCTTTTCCCATCCTGTTGTCAGAATGGTTTCACAGCACTTGTGCGCTGGCAACTTGCCCAGCATCCTGGATTGAGTCCCGGAAGTGCCCTACCTTCATTTCTTTCCATTGTTTCTGGATATTCAGCATGGAGAGGGAAGCCAGGGGATTCTTAATTTTTTTTTTTAATTGTATTTATGAGAGAGAGAGAGAACAAGCAGGGGAGGAGGAGCAGAGGGAGAGGGAGAAGCAGGCTCCCCACTGAGGGAGCCTGACATGGGACTTGATCCCAGGACCCCGGGATCATGACCTGAGCTAAAGGCAGACACTTAACCAACTGAGCCACCCAGGCGCCCTGATTCTTACCTTACAAGGTGAATAAAAGTTCAACAAATGTCAGTCCTAAAATAGTTATTAAAACAAGTGGAAAAGAAGATTGGTGAGCTTTTTAAATGCCTGATATTTACTCTCCAGGGCTAATTCCTGGTGATTCCTGTTTCTATCCATTAAAAAAATTATATTTTGTATTCTCTAAATCAAGGAATAATTTTGTGTCTGCTACCAAAAACAATCTTGAAAAAAAAAATCAGTATAATATTGTAACAGATCTAATGGAATTTAATGATCTAATGGGATACAACCATCTGCTTGCTAATCCTTTAGAGGAGAAGTGAAGGAATTATTGCTGCTGAATAGTTTCTGTGCTAATTATTTTTATTAATTCTGGTAAATCTTCAGGATTCTCATTAGTCATCAGTTACTGTTGGATTCATGAGATGAAATTATATTTCTTATAAAACATTCTTAAAGTGAGGTTTATCATTTGTATTAATTTACTATAATTAAGCTTGGTTCTTTTCTACACACACTGTCCTGACTCTTTATCTAACTAAAGTTTTGTAGGCACCCATTAAATAATTTATCTCTACACTCTCTCTTTTATTAAACTGGGAATAACCAAGACCTTAAAAGAATGATTGTGGATGTAGTTTTATGTTTTGTAGCCTTATGTATAGAAACCTCTTGAGTAGAATTTTGTAGTTTCTTTCCAGTAATCCATAAAAAAACTTTTTATTGATGTGTCTGTTGGAGTTGAGTATGTTGTGACTCAGTTGACCTTGTCTGTCCTTATGTAAGCAGCTTTTACAGACACTAATGGTGGAATTTCGTTCGTTCTTTGTTGCAGAGAGCTAAAACTTTGGCCATGTCAGTTACTTCCTCTGGATTTGCCGAGTTCACTCCTCAGTCCATCTTAAGGTCTGGTCTTCGAACACCACCTTTACCCTCTCCCTCTCTGTCACCTGGAAGGTCCGTTACCCCTCCTTTACGACTTAAGGAAACTAGAATTTCATTTATGGAAGAAGGCATGGCCACAAAACGGATTCCTGGAGTAAGTTTGATAATAGTTGGTACAAATTAAGAATATATTAGCTTTTATAAGTAAAAAGTCAGATAAACCAATTTTTTTTTGAGAGAGAATGAGCCGGAGGAGGGGCAGAGGGAGAGGCGGACTCCCCACTGAGCAGGGAGCCTGACTTGGGGCTCAGTCCCAGGACCCTGAGATCATGACCTGACCCAAAATCAGACGCTTAACTGACTGAGCCACCCAGATGCCCCACATAAATCAGTATGACTGTAGATTTTTATATATAGTCTCACAGATAGGCATGAAATCAGAAAACACTGGTTCAGTAAAAATCTCATGGCACTGACTGGCCAAGCAAAACCGATCATTTGCAACTGAAGTTTTAAAATAGGGCCCAGAAGCACCAAGCAAATTGCCTGTAATCAAATGGCTATTTGGTGGCAGAAATGGACTACAGTCAAGACCTCCAAATGTCTTAGTCCATGTTGTTGTTTTTTTTTTAAACCTTATATTGTGTTGGCTCTCTTACTAAGTTCCTAATTGGGTGTCTATTGAGACAGTATGTGGTCAGAGCTCCATTGTGGGTTAATAGGAAACCATTTGGTAGTGGTCATCTTGCCTATTCTGTGTTTTAGTCTTTTGGAAATACCGTTTTATTCCCAATCAGGGAAACATTAACAACCATTAACTTTCATGTATCTGGAGAGAATGGATTTAGAATAAATGAGTTTTGACTGAGAAGAGAATCTAGAGAAATACCAAACATGAAAAGGAAGTAAGTAATCAGTTACTGTTGATTGGAGATGGAGAGCTTAGACTCTACTGATTTCTCCTAGTAAATTTTTTTTTTCCCCAAAACCTTTTACTTGACAGGCTGCAGATGACAGCAAAACAAGACTATCTGTTACTACACCTCTCCATAAATGTGGAGGTCCAGCAAAAAGCGAATGGCTAAAGAGCAAAGCCAAGACAACAGCTTTTTCCCTGAGTAGTCCTGAAAAGGACCATCAGGAAGTGGAAGTGAGGTCCCAGGATACCCCTTCCCAGAGTCTGGAGAAACTGGATATGAGCCGAGAAAGTAGCGGTGCCTCCACCAGGTCAGACCAGACTACCTTGGAGTATCAGGATGCGCCATCACCAGGAGACTTGGAAGATATTTTCGTGGCCTCAAAGCCAGAGAGCTCTTCCACAGAACTCATTAATTTAACTGAACCGACTGAGAAGGACAGTGATAAAGATGTGCCTGAATCAGAAGTGACTCCTCCAGACCTAGAGAAACAAACGGGTAAGACCTCCTTTCCAGATACTCAAAAAATGTGTAGAATTCTTTCCACCGTAAGAAGAGCATCAGGATTAAGTAATTACACGATCCCAGTGTACTAGGTTCTAGACACAGCGCACACATCTGCCTTAAGGCCATATTGTAGCTGTGAGAAGTAATAATACTAATCCTCCAGTCTGGGTTGTTATTACAGTTTCTACCTTGTCCAGCAGCCTCAGCTTTCTAGAAAGCTGCTCAGAAACCAGGTCGGTCATTCTTTTCACCATCCCTATCTCCAGAATAATCACTGGACAATCCAAACAGATATCCAGAGGCCCATGAATTTAGAGTCTTTATGTTTACTTCTATATTAAAAAGATTTTGAGCCCCTAATGTCTGTGGAGAACGGGTAGGCTCCCCTTGTGTGTGTGCTCCGTGTTGAGGAGGCTGCCCCTGCCTGCGAGTAATTTAGAGCCTCGTGGACTAGATACATAAACAAGCACTTACAGTGTAGTTGGAAAAGTGTTCCTATAGGAGGCATGGAAGGAGCCAGGGAAACACCAGAGAGAGGGGAGAGACTTGGCTTAGAATCGGATGAGAAGGGGCATCTGGGTGGCCCAGTCGGTTAAGCAGCTGCCTTCGGCTCAGGTCATGATCCCAGGGTCCTGGGATTGAGTCCCGCATCAGGCTCCTTGCTCAGTGGAAAGCCTGCTTCTCCCTCTCCCTCTGCCTGCCTCTCTGCCTACTTGTGCTATCTCTCTGTCAAATAAATAAATAAAATCTTAAAAAAAAAAAAAAAATTGGATCAGAAAATTTAGTCTATTTTTGGTTTCGTAGCCCTGCACGGTTTTAACAAGCATATTTAAAGGTAATTCCTATATTCAAATCTGTAAAACTAAATACTTCAATAAAAATCTGTCATACTGGTTTCTTTGGGCTGTGATGTCTTTGTATAATAAACACAAGCATTATTGCTCTAAGAGCCTAGGACTGTCCTCATGAATAGCGTCTGTCTACAAGTGTACATCAGTCCAGATGTGCTCTGTTCCACCAAAATAGTTGAATGATAAAACATGAGGATGTTCATGGCAGTATCTTCATTGATTATTCCTAAAAAGATGAGGCAGTCTCAAATAGAAACTTGTATTGTTTTCGTGGGGGATTATATAGCACAAACTATAGGGTGAAACAGGCTAGCTGTGAATTTCAGCTACTTACGCAGCCTGGGATAAGCAGTGTAACTGTGCTTCTGTGTCCTCGTTTGTAAAATGGGGATAATGATCCCCCCACTTGGATTGTCGAGGACTGAGTCACTCTCTGTACAGCACTTGCATGTTAAGTCTCAAGTGAGGGAAGCGGTAGGGTACGGGGGCTCCCGGGCTGGGCTTGGGCTATTCGAAAGACCTGTTGGCATTCTGAGGCCAACGGAGTAAATCTAAAAGTACAAAAGAGCAGATCCAACAAGCTTGTTAAAAAGTAGTCATCCAAGAAAGATCATGAGTACTCGCTAAACAGTTGGCATAAATGATGGTAAGTATCCTTCCCACTGATTCATAGGCACTGTAGACGGCACGAAGACAAAGGACCTCTTGGTTGCAGAGGAGGTGCTTGCAGACTTCAGTCCCTTGCGCCCCATTCCAGGAGGTGGAGCTTCCCGCTGTGCTCCGCCAGCCCACGACGGGTAAGCTAGCAGGGAGAGCTGCTCGTGCTCAAAGTGTGAGGAGATGGTGAGCCGGAAGCTTCCTATTCTGTGCGTAGATGAGCTTTTTTTTCAGACCTTGGGCATTCCCGCTTTGGTACTGGTTTCTGTTGTGAAGGACGTTCATTTGTACAAGTGTGTGTTACGTAGTAGTTATTGTGAAGTCTTAGAACAATACTAGATACTTCCTGAATGTACAAAGTCATGAAGTGAGGCAGATCTCCTTTTATATTCTTTGGTGACTCTATTTGTTGAAGCCCTCCTGGTTTCGGGTTGATGAAGTGGGTCTCCTACGGCATCAAGATGGAGTATAGGGGACATGGCTCAGAGGCAGTTGTGTTCCCTACCATGTGGTGAATACAAGACTCCAGCAAAGGTTTTCATTTGTAATGACTGCTTGAACTGATATGCTCTTGGTTCTTTTCAGTGTTTGTACATTCAGGCACTGTACTAGACGATGTGGGGTCTACCAGCCTGATGCTGCTTGGTGGGGTCTAAGAGCTTGAGGTCAGGCCCCAAATGGTTTGTGGTTGCAACACATGACAGGCAGCTTGTATTAGACTCTAAACTAGTACATCACTTCCTTTCCTGAAAGTCAGCTCAACTCATCAGTGAAGTGATTGCCGTTCTGGCAAAATCTCCTTCTCTTGTTGCAAGGCTGGACGCCTTGCGCTTCAGGACTTGGAGCAACGCTGTTGTAGAGGATACCAAAAAGTTGCAACTTTAATTATCGTGAAGTAGTAAGGGTGATTTAGTAAGATTAATCCTTATAAAACATGGTCATTTAAGATACCGTAAGTGGTTCATTGCTTTCTAAGTCCTGAGGGAGTTCACACACCACCCACAAAAGTCACTATCGTAATAGTCACATCTCCTACATTGAACCCAATCATATGCTTCACTTCTGAGAGGAGAAATCCTGATTAGCTGCAATCTTTGCCAGGCCTCCATAGAAAAAGTGGGAGGAAACTATAAAAGGATTATCTAGATTGTTTATTTAATTCTAATATTTCTTGAACTTTAATGAAAATAGGATTGCAGTGGGGTTGATGGAGAATTGGCAACAGTTGCAAAGGAAAAAGTAATCACATGACAAGAAACGTTGTGGTTACTGGTAATCTAGGCGAATCGTCACCATCATGACAAGCCTGTCTTTTTTAAATATAAATTTATTAGTTGTTGCTTCTTGGTTATCCTAACATTGCGAGATGGAGATAAGTCTTAAAAATACATCTATAAGGGACGCCTGGGTGGCTCAGTTAAGTGTCTGCCTTCAGCTCAGGTCATGATCTCAGGGTCCTGGGATTGAGCCCCTTGTCAAGCTCCCTGCTCAGCGGGGAGTCTGCTTCTCCCTTTCCCCTCCCCCCACATTCATGCTCTCTCAAAATCTTTTTAAAAAAATCATTTATAAAATAGGTATATATTCCAAATGCATGTTTTTTCTTGAATTTATTATTTGTCCCATTTTTTAAAAATCACACTTCTGTTGGGTTTTGGGAAAGGCCCTATTCAGAATAGGAAGGGATCACTGTCCCCATATTTCCAGAACTTAATTTCACCAAGTGGCTTAATACAGGTCCCATTGGTCTCCTACTGTGAGTCTTTTTTCATACTCTTTCCAGATAATACTAAAATATTGAACCTGATTTTAGTGAGTATATAGGAAATACTCCGTAATACCTGATAGACTTACAAATGTGCCCACAGATAATTAAAAACTGGTGTAAGTGTAATTTATACTGACCAGCATTTTAAAATAATTTTATTTGTAGTTTAAAGCCATGCATATTAGAAAGTGGGAATACCAAATACAGCATTACTTGTTTCTAAATTCACTTAAAAATTTTATAGTGTTATTTAAAATAAACTCGGGTGGTATTAAGTTCTCCGAACCTCAGGATTTATTACCAAAATGACATGTAGCAGAGAAGAGCAGGTGGGACCTTCTTAAACACTAATGCATATATTTCTTTTTCTAAAGGAAAATCCTCACCCTGAAATCCCAGGTACCAGTTTTAGACGAAGGACTAGTATCTGTTGAGACCTGCACCTCTGCGTTTAGAGCAGGTAACAGTCAATGTGTGTATTATTTTGACTTTAGAATTATTTCATTTTAGGGGCGCCAGAGTGGCTCAGTCGGTTAAGCATCTGACTCTTGATTTGGGCTCAGGTCATGACCTCAGGGGGGTGGGGTGGTGCCCTGCATCAGGCTCTGTGCTCAGCATGGAGTCTGCTTGGGATTCTTCCTCTCCCTTGCCAACCCCCAACCCCCTCTCCGGCTCACACATGAGTGCATGCGCGCTCTCCCCCTCCCCCCCGCCCCCCCAAAAAACAACAAAAAAGAATTATTTCATTTTAGTGTTTTAAGAGTGTTCTTATCTCAGTTCTTCCTCTTTGGTCAGGTTCTGTAGCTGTAAGTAGCCTTGTGTTCTCAAGAGATGTATCAGAGCAGTGAGTTGCTTGTAAGGTGCTCTGTGGTCTAAAAGCAGACGTCTTAGAATGGTTTTTGTGGACCTATTTTCCTTCAGAACATCAAAGAAGAGTAAAATCAATTACCAGTCCCCAGCCAGGCAGTATATCTGCTTTTCTGTCTTCTGGGACTCCAATATCTACATGGGGCAACTTCTGTTTTTTAATTTAAGGCCAAGATTGGCTTTTTATTAGTGGAAAATAATTACAAATGACTGCATTTGCTCTAGGGAAATTAACAAATATGTAGAATTCATTTGATTTTTTTTTCAATCCAGTGACTTCTTTTCTTTCACATACTGATAATTGGAAGGTAAAGTGCTTATTTTCCCATTCCTCTTTGCCAAACGGACAGGTGAAAAACTTTCCTCATTTTGTTTTATAAGCTATCTTTGTATTTTAGGGATACCAGCCCCATTATCTGTTGAAAGCATGCAAATATTTTTTCCTTGGTTTTTTTGTTTTGTTTTGTTTTTACTTTTTTATGGGGGTGCTTGGATGGCTTAGTCGGTTAAGCATCCAACTCTTAATCTCAGCTCAGGTCTTGATCTTAGGGTCACTTAAATAAACCCCAAAAACCTTTTTACTGATTTTTATTAAACACTAAAGGGTTTTGATTTAGTCAGATTCTACCCCCCCCACCCCAAAATGCTTTGGGTGTCGTTCACAAACCCAAATGACATAAAACTATGCGTGCTAATGACATAGAAAACTTAGTCAAAGAGGAAGGTAAAAGATGAGGATTTATTTTTTCTAATGAGCTGTCACCCTCCCTCAGCTCCCCTCTAGGTTTTTTGTTGTTGTTTTTTTAAATGGTAGAGTATATTTTTGGCCATTTGGATGCTTTCTGCCAAAAGAGAGATACCTAGTCCTTTTCACAGTGAGATACAGCCCAGACTGCAGGTCCCTCTTGTCATTATACTGAAGTTTCACGGTAAGGGCCGGAATTCTACCTAAGTTGGAAAAAAACAAAAAAAAACTCACCATTGTCATTTTAAGTGTAAAATTTATCTTCCATGTGTGTAGAAAGCAGATACGTATTGTTTAAACTGGATACTGAGATGGGATTCATATGTAAACTCTCATAAGGCTTTTCCCCTTTAAGAAGTTAGAAACTATTGGGCAATAGGACAGTTTTTCAAGGAAATATTCTCAAGTGCAATACAGCCTTTGCCTTTCTCTTGCTTCTCAAACTGTGTGTGTGTCTTTTTTTGTTTTTCTTTCAGCTCTGGCCGATGTGCATGGTGATAGTGGAGACTCTGGGCTTGCTATCCCTGAAAGTCCTGTGATCTCCGAACATAAGCCTGACCAGGAAATAACATTGAACTTACAGGAAGATCACAAAGTAGAACTTGATGTCCTGAAAGCAGGTGTTGACTTAGCGGAAGAAAAGCCTCCCGTTTCTGACGATCCTCCTGATCCTCAAGAAATTCATGTAAAAAATTAATTTTTTACTTTGTTGTTAGTTTTGGTTTAGATTTCAAATCATAGTTTAAACCTAATGTATTCATTTATTTGACTGTTGTATAAAAACCTCTTTTTAATGTGCATTAGAAAAAAGCATGTAAATATTTTGTGGATTATAAAAGAACACATCCTTTAAGTGAGAAATTGTTTTTCGTGACCACCAAAAAGCTATGTTAAAGAAGTCAGAATTCTAACAGTTTAATTTTTGCTTAGTATCTGGTTCAAATGAAAGTTCTTTTAGCCATGAGAAAACAGATACTGGCTACTCCAGAGAAAAGTATGACAACTAAACTATTCAGAGCATTTGAAAATAACTGAATACAGTTAGATAGGATTGTTCCCCCATGCATACTTGTAGGAGAGTGCTCATTAGCTGGCTGGGGTTTAACTTCTATAACACGAGAAAGGATTTCTTTTCTGTCTTTCTTTCTTTCCTTTCCTTTTTTTTGTACTTAATACGATTTATGGTTTCTAAAAATTCCACCACGTTTCTTTTAATACCAACAGGCAACTTTATATGATAAATGAGTGTAAGATTAAAAAAAACAAACCTCTTCTAATTTATAGAAATGTGATTGTATAGTATTTGGGAAGTTTCTTAAATCATAAAAGTGTCATGGTTGTCCATATTCATTTTCATGAGTATTCTCACTATAAAATAGATGGATAAAGTCCCCTTACTTCAGCCGGGAAGCTAATAAAAATTGTGGGCGTGGTATGAGTGAGAATCCTCATTTCTGGGTATTTCCAGTCTTCATCTCACTGAATGTGTGGGGAGTGGGAAAATGTCATTGTCTAGGTGGGTGGTAATGTTCTACCTTCTTGGTCAGGAGATCTCTCTGTTACTTTCTACCTCCTCCTTTTTCTCCCCCTCCCTTACCAAAAGGTAAATGCAAGGACCATTCCTTCTTCCACCAAACCCTTGCAGGAGAGGTACTGAACTTGAAAGCCTTAGGAATTTCATGGTTTATGCAGCCCCAGCAAAGGGAAGAGGATTGAGTCTAGCCCAAGGGAGCTTATGTAGGTGAATTCTTCTTCAACCTTATGGGGATCATGCTGTTTAGAAAAAGTGTGGTTAGTTAGGGATTTTGGGGATTACCATTAAAACACAATTTGGGGGTTGTGTCTTTTTCTCCAGTTAATGTTTTTTTCCGGGTGAGAACAGAATAAGTCCTTAAATTAGCATCATAGTAATTTTCAAGGTTTTGTAAAGACTGTCTTTTTTAGCTAAGGAAATGCGGAATTTCTATTTTAATTCCATTCAGAATCTCAAAATCTTTTTCTGTCTAGTTATTTTGACCAAGTAATAATCTCTGATTGCTTAAATAGATATTTTTATAAAATAAACCCATAAGTATATGCCATATCAAACGTAGTTTAACAATTCATATACCAGGGGTGAGATGATTATTAAAAAACTGTATGCTTTAGGCTAAAATAAATGTACACATTAAAATTCTTTAACCAGTCTCTTATCTTTAATTCATTGTAGGTGACTGAACATGAAACGCTCGGAGTTCAAGATTCAGAACATGAGGCTAGGAGTCTTTCATTTAATGAGTTGTACCCCTCAGGGACTCTTAAACTCCAATATAATTTTGATACCATTGAGCAACAATTTTGTGACTTACCTGATAATAAAGACTCTGCTGAGTGTGACGTTGCCGAAGTAGACGGGGAACTTTTTGGGGCTCAGAGCAACTTTACCTTGATATTAGAAGGTGAAGAAGGAGAATTAGAGACAGGTGATTCTGCAGCATCTAATGTGTTAGCTCCAGCGGCAAACACAGTAGCTGAGGAAAAACATGTATGCAGTGAGGAAAATGGTGGACACGACGCAGAGTTGCCAGCGGTCCTGACTAGTGATCAGGAGTCCCAGAAGGTAGAGACTTTACCATATGTGCCTGAACCAATTAAAGTAGCAATCGCAGAAAATTTACTAGATATAATTAAAGACACAAGAAGTAAAGAAATTACTTCAGATACAGCAGAACAGCAGTCCATTCATGAAAACATACCTTTAATAAGCCAGCAGGTCACCAAGGTAGTCAAATCTACGTTGAAGACTGTTCAGGAGACAAGTACAGTGACTATAAACGTGAGCCAGCTTGATGACACGATTTCCTCCAGAACTCGCAGGAGAGGACGTGTCCAAAACCCGAGTGTCCAATCAGCACAACAGGAAGAGTCTGTAGCTGTTGCTACTCCTGACAGGCTGGGCCTTTTGGATAGGAGGACTCGGAAAAGGAAAGAAATGTCTGGGTCTTTTGAAGGTGCCTGTTCTGATGTCAAAGTTATATCTCAGAACCTGCAAATACCTCAAAATTCTGTGACTCCTAGGAGAGGAAGGAAAAGGACAGAAGATAATCAGGACATGTTAGAAAGTGATCGTCCTATGGAACAGGACTTAGGGGTTACTCCAGATAGCAGACTAAGGAGGGTAAAACCCTCTCAGCTCTTGGAACCAGCTACTGGAAAAACTAAGCTTTCGTCTGTTACAAAAAAGACTCCAAAAGGAATTAAAAAATCTGTGGAATACCCGGAAAGTGTTGAAATGGTAGATCTAGATCTGAAAGTTAGTAAAGTAGCACATCCCAGTGGAAGTACCCGAAAATTGAGAAGTGCCACTCTAGAAACTTCTAAAAAGCCAGATGGAGAAACTAAGCTTTCGTCTGTTACCAAGAAGACTCCTAAAGGAATTAAAAAATCCGTAGACTATCCAGAAAGTGTTGAAATGGTAGATCTAGATCTAGATCTAAAAGTTAATAAAGTAGCACGTCCCAGTGGAAGTACCCGAAAACTGAGAAGTGCTAATCTAGAAGCTGCTGAAAGTAGAGGACGTAAACCAGATGGAAAGCCCATGGATGAGCCACCGCCTGTCAAGCCTGACAAAAGTCCTAAAAAGAGGGAAAGTAGCACACTCGATGTTACAGAAGACTCCAAACTGGATTCATCGCAGCTGAGTCTTCAGGCAGAGTTTGGTAGACCTAGGAAACGTGGTAGACCAAGAAAAGTTAATCCATCTGAAGATGTCAGATCCAAGGCTGCCAAGGAAGTGAAAAGTCCCAAGAGGAAGTCAGGAACTTTAAGCAGCCAGAGGAGGTCGACAAGAAAGACCCCGGCCAAAAGAAAGACTGATGTTGCAAAAACAGCCTTAGAAAAATCCGCTTTAGTGCCAAATGAACTTGCTGTGGTGACTGGCTCTAAGAAAAAGCTTACGAAAAGGACTGAAGATCCAAACGAAACATGTGCATTATGTCCAGTATCAGAAAAATACACTGATGAAGAAATGACAGCTATGGAAACTGACAACCCGGAAGAGAGGGGGCTTGCCCCAGCCACTCCGCCAAAATCGTCCCGCAGCACAAGGACTCGATCTAGCAAAGCCATCTCATTTCCCGACCTCTCTGAACCAAAAAATGAGTTTGTGTTCTCTACTCCCGTGTCAAAGGTTCCAAGGAAAGAGAAAGGTACTTTTACTTATATTCAGAGCACAGTTTTCATCTCGCTCAAAGTCTTCAGCTTAAAATTCTGTTGTGTAAAGTGCAATTTGATTTAAGACTGTAATTATTTCTCCTAAAAATGATTAGTAGTTACAGGAAATTCCTCTCCCCCTCCAAAAAAGAAAACACACTTTATCTTTAAATAGTAAAGTTTAAAGATTCTAAATTTCGAAGTATCTTTAGATTCAGGAATTTTCTGTTTCACTGTGACTCTTGAACCCTATAATTCACTTGACACAGGTTTAATCTTCTAGAATAGTATCATTTCTCTTCATTCTGCCCTAAGTGACTTAATTTTTCCTCAAATAGAATCAGCATTTTTAATCTTAAGTGCCGCTGTGTTTGGCTCATGTCCCAGCAGACATCCGCAACCTCAAATTGTTTTGAAGGGAAGGAGCAGTAGAATTTTATTGATTAGGATACAGAAATTATTTCAGTTCCTCCTCCCTGTTGCCCATAAATTGGCGTGGCTGCACGTCCAGCCTCCCTCATTGCCCCTCATGAGCTCTGTATTGTTGGGTTGGTATAGCTCATACCTTCCCAGCGGGGGTGATGTGTCTCCCCAAAGAATGAGAATATCTTAGTCTTTATCTGTGCTATTAGGATTTGGAGGGGGGATATTTCGGTGAAGCAGCCAATTAAGAGAAAGGGTCTAAAAGGTGATGATGATGATGAAGGAAATGTTGAGACACTGGTGTAGCTGAACAGAACGTGTTAGGGTCGTTCTTGGCAAATGTGATAAAAATGGTTAGGTGAGCAAAATGTAGTTGTTCACTTAAGGTTGAAGATCTGAATTTCAGCAAAGCAGCTCAGGGACTCGTAAGTAAAGTAGGTGCCTTTGTTGTATTTATTTAACCTTTCAGAACTGTTGTGTGTACTTTTAAAAGCATTAGTGAACATCCTGTAGAGTTAGTTGCCTTATGACTTGAGGAAGGCCACACGAAAGATAAGCCATTTAGAAATATGCAAACTGAAAATTTTCTGTATTCAGCATTCACTCTGCAAACACTGTTTAAATGTGTTGGTTTATGCAGTCATTTATTTTAGATACATAGTCTGAGCCCAGGAAGGGCCCTTTGCCATCAGATTGATCATTTGTTTTACAAAATAACTTGTAGTTGCGGGAGGTCTGTCTCCCTCCCCCAACCTCCAGTTTTTAAAAATAGATCTTTGATTTTGTGGTACTGTAGGATTCAGTTTTTTACGGTTTGAGGAAAGGGAGGTCACGCCCATACTTTCCTTGGAGCAGGACGCAATGACCAGAGTGTGTCCGATTTTAGCTCACTTGACTAAGCTGCTAGATCAGATAAATTTTAAATGTTGCAGCGTGGGTAGCAGAAGGTCATTAACACAATTCTTTTACTCTTTCCTTGTGACTTAGAAAAGTGTAGCAAACACCCAAATTGTATGGTATTTTGGCAAATGTCTCAGTAGTTCTGATCTTCGTCATTTTTACATACTTGTCACCTATATACCCACGAACTACAGCTTGTTTCTGTAATAAAATACATGCCTGCCATAGAAAATTAGAAATTCAGTGTATATCCTCTCATTATCTGAAGGACCGATAACCAGAGTTCACATTTTTGTGTGTCTCGTGGCTTCCCCACCGATAGGCTTCCCGGCTGGCACTGCATCTTGCCGATGGGCCACACATGCTTGTACCTTCTTCTGTTACGTATTTGAACCGTTGTCAGATTCTCTAGTGTTAAAAACAGGCACCTTCTCGCATTATAGAAGTGGTGAGAAATTGGGGACTGAGATCTCTCCTTTCTGCCACTTAGTAGCTGGGCAGCCAGTCCTTTCACTTTTCTGAATCTGGCTTTCTCGCTTTGACAACGAAGAGGACAGCGCCTGCCCCGCAGCCTTCTGACAAGGCAGTCACCAGCATCCAGGGCCTCCTTGCATCTCTTGCCCTCCGGCTAGAGTTCCCTCTCTCCTCCTCTGCCCATTCATGTTATCTTCTTAAAGCTCTTTAGGAAGGGCAGGAAGCACAGAGGAGCGGGCCCAGAAATATTATCATATGACCCGAAGGCAGAGAAACAGCCGTCTTAGAATTTAGTTAGAGGCATTTCGCTGGTCAGAAAAACATGAAGCTTGACATCTCCGTGGAGTCTAATTTCTGTTACTCAGCAGCAGGTGTTTAAGGGCCTGCCAAGGGCCTGAGGCTGAACTGGGGTAGATGTTCGTCAGGTGATTGGATTCCCACTCCAGCGCAGTGAAGTGTAGCTACTGTTCTTCCTTCCTTCCACAGTGAGGGGAGGTTGAAGTTCAGGGAGACTGAGCCCCCCATGCCACCCAGGCTGCGAGGTGGTGTCCGGAGCCCACCTGCTGGCTGCTCAGAGCATTGACCAGTACGTTCCTGGCCTTGAAGCCGGCACTTTGGGACACCTTACGCCTTCGGTAGCGCTGGCATCAAAACTTCCCCTCAGGAAACAGAGGTGGGTGAGGAATGAATATGCCAAGAAGTATCATAAAATCTTGTTTGGCTTAGTAGAAGCACGTGGAAGAAATGGGGGAGGCCGAACATTTTTGCACACAATAGTGGGTGTTCATATTTCCTTACTTCTTTGAATTGTAGGGGGAGATGGAGGGGAAGAATGTGAGCTGGTCTTTGAAAAGCCAGGGCAGTTGTTGCTCCAGGTAGCCTAGAAAGAGAAAAACAGCATGTTTTCATTTCCTGGAAAGACCCTAGATAGGTTTCTTCTTAACGACAAAAGGGGAAGGTCACCACCAGCACCCCCACTGTTGCTGGCTCTGCCCCTAGTCCTCTGGCAGCAGAGAGAACTCTGATTTCTGACCTCACCTCGGTTTTTTCTTAACAATCATGTGCTTTAAAAGCAGAATTTGATGTCTTATAGAAGTCCTGACTGTCCAGGTGGGTGAAATAATGCTGAACTAGACTTGGAGAATTTTATTTCAGGACTGTAAATTCTTGAAATAGTAAGCACCTACTGTGGGCCACCCACGCTGTTCGATCCTCTCATCTTCACGATGACTTGATAGGTCCTGTTATTAATCCCATTTTGTAGAAACTGAGGCACAGAGGGGTCTTATTTGCCAAGTGCAGGAGCTGGGATTTAACCGGTGGCAGACGGCTTCAGCGGCTGCTTCCGTAACATGGCTACTGGCCATGAATACGGAGATCCTGTGGTAAAAACAAAATCTGAGATACAGTCTGTGATATTTTTAATTACGTATTTTGAACCAGTTCTTAATTAAACCATTTTTATTTATCTATGGCATTTCTTCCGATCAGCCTGTTCTTCCACATTCATTACTTTCTCTGCTTACTTTTACCCTTTATGGTGGGGACTTTTCTGTTGTTGCTTTGACCCGAACAGCTAGCTCAGAATGAGCTGGAAGGAAAGAACTTTTGAGTCTTCTTTGAAGATAAAATTACTTTTGTAAATGAAAACCTCGTCTCTGGAATAGGAAGGTTTACAAAGCAGTCTAGCTCAGCTTATGTACAAGATTGACGCTTTCCTCCCTGAGAACATTTGAGGAGCAGTAAAGATTAGAATTAGTGGAATGATACAGTTCTGAGCTTTTTAGGTCTTATTTTTCTGTTGTGTTACTTAGTTTGAGGCATTAGATGTTCCTGAACTTGGGATTTGCCCTGTCGTTCCTCTCCTCCTGGTGCAGCTGCCATGTTCAGATGCTCGTGTCTTCCAGGTTGTCTTCCAGGTTGCCTTCCCAATGTGCGTCGTTTGTTCCAAGCTTTAAAAAAACATAGATACTGATACATATATAGATGGACATGGATACAGTGTGTTTTTCCTCCCTGCCTTGCTTTAGGGAAAAAAATAGAGGCTCGCGCACAGCTGCAAGAATTAGTTTCAGATTTACCTTCTCGGTTTGTCTTCTCATCTCCTGCGTCACGGACCAGGCGGAAAACCACATCTAACACATCCAGAGCTGGAGATGAACTGGTAAGAAATGAATTGTATTCATATGCTTATTTAAACATGCTCTTTACTTGTTTAGGCAGTGTTTCCTAAATAAACTTCATTTATACTGAAAGCCCCAGATCACCTTGTCTGCACTTGGGCGGGGGGGGGGGGGGGGGGTGGCCCTTCCCTTGGACACAGTATGTCACCAATGGTGTGTTCCTGGCAGCTACGGTTTAGATGACCCATTAGGGGAAAGGCTTTTAGCTTTTAGGGTCTCATCAGAATGATCTGGATGTGTTTCTCTTGATTAGAGGTCCCTGAACCCCCAGGGTGTCTTGCACAGTCACACTTGGAGAGAGAGTGTTTCAGAGTTGACTGTATCACCTGATGGCACATAACCCTAAAATCAAAGCAGTTCCGGGATTGAGAGGGAGACAGACCCTTGTTTTAACAACATTAATTCATAAGCATTTTTTGAACTATCTGCTATGAGCCAGTTACTATTCAAGGACAAAGACTTACAGAGAAATCTTGGGCAGATTCATGGTCTTTCAGGAGCTCAGTTTAATTGAAGAGGCTAAAACACACATAATTACTTCACGGTATGTTAAGAATCATTTATGCCCAAATAACCGTATAGACGGAAGGTAAAGCAAACAGGCACCACTGGAAGAGAAAACCGTGGATCACAGAGGCACAGAGGCCTGGCAGTGCTCAGGGGTGGGGGGCTGCTTACAAACGGGTGAACAGCCATGTGCACATTAAAGGAAACGTGAAATAAATTCTAGGGAGGAAAACTGCTCTCTGGTGGCCAGTTCCTTTACAAGATGACGAGAGCCCGGTTGTGGACAGAGGCAGTGGGAACAGGAGTGCAGCAGACAAGGACACGTTCCACGTGAAACATTCGTGCCTTGGAGATGAACTGGATGTGTGGGGGTAGGGATAAAGAGCGGCCCTAGATGACCAGAGTTCCTACTAAAGATAAAAGGGGTCCATTTGGGACTTGTGGGGTCTGAATTCACTAGCCCTCTTTGGCCATATTCCTTGATGCAGGATAGAACTAATACAACTCGGATTTCAAGTATTTACTTACGATTTACCTTCTAAAATTTTTAACCCCTAGAAAGATAGTGCTCCATTAGTAGAAACTGTGGGAAGGCCAAAAGTGAAAACAACCAGGACGGCCAAGACAAAACAAGCAAGCAGGTATGAACTTTTTTATGCTGTAATTTTTATCCATTTTGTTTTGTAGATTAGATTTGAGAAGAGTCATAACTTAGAGAAATGAAGCTCTTCAGGAAAGGGTCATTCTTAGGGGCATTGTGCACACTGGCTTGTGGCAACGGCTGGGTCTCCCCACACAGCAGTGAAAGCCAATCTGTCCTTTTTAAAGAAGGGTCACGGGGGTCTTGTTTTTGGCAGTGGGAGGTTTCACCCTTTCCTTAGTAAAGGTAGATAACTATTAATAAAAATAAACTTAAAAATCTTGTACTTATTTTACTAGTAGCAATAAAACTTCCATTCACGAGGACATTTGTCCAGGTATATTGGCGCTTAGGCATGGTTGAATTTCATAAAAGTACAAAGTAAATCCATTTGATATCTTCCTTTAAAAATGGACGTCATGAGACTTTGGACCATAACTCATAACACCGTTCACACATCATTTAGCTTTATATATATATATTTGGACCATAACCCATAACACCGTTCACACATCTATATATATATGGGAAACGTTCATCGACGGAGGTATACCCGTACTTGCTGATTGCTGGCGTGCGAGAGTTGCTGTTTCTCACACACTTCACGGGCCTGCTGGGCTCTCAGCCCACCGACGTCACGTGAAGCTTTTACGCAGCCTCCAGGTACCCTATGTGACCAAAACCTTTGCTTCACTTCTAAAATCAAAGCACCAGGAAAGGGTACTGCTCCTACAGGTTTTTTTCCCCCAAGGTAATTGGGAAGTGGATTCTAGTTGATATTTTAATGTATTTATTCTTACTTGAATTGTGTTTTGTTTTCAGAAGCAAAGAAGATAATTGGTCACCTCCTCCTGTGAAAATCCAGCTGATTTCTCCTTTGGCAAGCCCGGTTGACGGAGTCCAGAGCAAGCCTCGAAGAGCAACAGCAGTAGCGGGAAGAGCTCCGGGAAGGAGCAGGAAGAAACTGTCTTCCCTTCCAAAGCAAGTTTTACGCAGAAAAATGCTATAATTTTTTTTCAAGTTTTTAATGAACACCAATTTGTAAAATCATCAGAATTGTGTGGATTATTAAAAATCACCTAATTTGGAAGAAAATAATTTGTATAAATTACTGTAAATTTTTGTAAACAGAAGGTCTTCAATAAGTACAATAACTCCGTAAGGAGTGTGATTCTTTTACTCGGGGCAGTTTTTCTATTTTATATTGACTTCATACATTTATATAATATGTAAATATGGCTTCTTACTGGAATGTTAAATAAAGTGTGTACTTCACAGTAGTTTGTGTCTGTTAGATTTTTGAGAGGGGATTTCTGTTTTAATAATGATTTTATAATGCTAGGAGGTATTGGTCCCATTTTCTTTCGCTACAGTTAAAAGGTATTAGACCAGCCTTAAAACGAAGATAATTGAAGAACTGTTGTTTTTTTTTAAAGTTGCTATTTTATAATTTATGCACTTTGCTCCTATGATTGAGATTTCTAATCATAAAATGTATATATATATTTTTTTGCCTGTTACTATGTTGAAATCGAATTATGGGCATGTAATTTTGCCGCTTTTTGTAGTTTAACAAATTTTGTATATTCTACCTCAAATTTGTCATTTTCCAAGTAATGCATTGGTTAAATACAATGTTGGCATTTCTTGTTCAGCAAGCTTAAAGGCTCTTTACCTTTAAAGTCTCTTCATTCTTCAGAGACTAATCATCCAGGTTAGACTGACCGGTTCACTGCTCACTAGCCTCCTGGAAAGGTTTGAGAAGAAAGGGAAATGTCAAACAAAACTATTTCATGGCTGCTCGATACACCTCGTGTGTGCCTAGTATCGACAGAATGAGAAGTCTGAACAAATTTTATAATATTCTTGCTGTGAAGGAGCTTGCTGTAAAATCACAGAAATCCCTTAATATTCAGGTTTGAAAACTCATTTTGATAGGACCTCAGGCACAGACTATTTGAGGATGGGGAACGAGTGTGAGGTGGGAAGGGAAAAAGAAAGACACTGTTGTCTGCAGTACAACTGTGTAGTTCAGTGGGGACGCTTGATGTAGCCTGTGAAACTCATCAATAAGTGAGTGCTGTAAAATATAACAGGTCATGGGTAGTGTGTAACGAATGGACCATTAATAATTGATTGTCTAGAAACAAACTGCTTGTGTTGGCTAAGCTTGTAATGTGTTAGTGTGAAGCAGAAGCACTGTGCTTTCCACCTTATTTTTCTACCAAATAAATCCACGGGAGATGGGAAATGATGACAGCACCTCTGCCAAGTACGGACGGTGTGCGAGTAGCGGTGCGCGTGCGGCCTTTCACTCAGGTTGGTGACGGAGGCGACGCCGCCTGCTTGAAACTCTGACTAGGACTTGCATTTTATTCCTTTTGCTAATGATCGTTATCAAACATGTATTCAAGCTGCTTGTCATTGATGGAATATTAAACTTGCTTTAAATGAACTTGTTAAACGAGTCATTTAACGATCTCTACGTAATTAGTAAACACGTAACCTCATTCCTTTGTGCAAGTAGCTCAATAAAAAAATTGATGAGAGAAACGTACTGTCAAGTTAGTAATTCTTTAAACCGATGCGGGTTGGTGACTATAGATACATGCTGTTTTTAATAAATGTACTTTTCCCCCCAGCTGCTCATTCAGCTGTGTTGCTACAACACTGTAGGATAAAACAGAGGTGATACTTGTTCTGGGACCCTGTAGCAATCTCTGATTATCAAGGCATTAGTTACAAATTTTAAGATAATTCTGAACAATTGACCCATTCAGTGAACTTTTGACTGCTTGAATCAAACGCAGTACTAGAGAAATGGGATACAAAGCAGCTTGCTATCTCATGTAAGTAAGTAAGTGGTGGCAGAACGCACCACAGTGGTAAGGCAGACAGCCCCCAGAGACTGATCAGGTCTAGTTCATTCTACCTGGCTTGGTCATGAAGACTCTGGAGATGGAGGCATTTCAGATGACCCAAGGGCCGAGTAAGATTCAGACAAGGATATGCTAGAATGACGAGCAAGGACATATTGGACAATAGTCCTAAATGGCATCCGATGAGTGTAATGGAGACCATATATGATATAAGGTCTTCCTTCCCATTTGGACCTTGTTCAACCTGACGCTCTTCTCTGTGGTCCATCAGTATTCAAGATTGTTTTGCACGTTTTCAGTTGGTGTCCATGATTTCCTGCCCCCTAGCTTTCATCTGTATCCCAGAAAATACTTCAGCAACCAGGCGACATATCATTGGATAGCGCTTTATGTGAATAACAACCACTTCAAGTGTAGCAGCTCATGGGGGCTTCTAAAGGGGCATGGCTTTTCAGCAACCTGATAATAAAGTCAAAGAATTGTGAGGAGCAATGTAATGTTTTAACCAAGAAAAAGGAAATAAAACTATTTTATAACCTAATCCGTCAATACGCTATAAAGTAATTATTCCAGGGTATTTTTCGCTGGCCTTTAATACTGCTAGAGTAGCTACAAGTTTTAAACAGTAAGGAGGTAGAAAGTAGGCGCTAAGTTAATTACATGGCTTTGGGACCTCTCATCAAAAAGATTGCATTTGATAGCATTCTACCACCACCGTTGGCTAGCTTATACTAGAACAGTAGCAAGGAGGAGAGTAGACCAATTCAAGAGGTGACTTGAGGGTGAACGGATATGGGGCATGCCTGGACAACTGGAGCCTGTCTGGGTAACCTGGGCTCTAATTCTCTGACTTCCGGTCTCAATCCTCGTGGTGGGGTCGGAGGACCAGCTTGGTGAGACTGACTGTGTTAGAAGAGGTAGCACTTTCTCAGGAACCTTTGAAGTCAGATGAACTTGGGTTCAAGACCTGACTTTATCACTCACCCACTGTGTGACCTTGAAGAAGGTTTTAATCTCTCTCAGCCTTGGTTTCCTTCTGTGCAAAATGGAGATGTTGATACTTCACAGGCTTACTATTTCAAAAGCTAGATGAAAATAATGTGTAAATCAACACAGTGCCTGACAAATAAGCAGCGTTGATATTAGCCACTATAATTATTTCTTATTTGAGAGACCAAGACCATATGTTGGGGGGGGGGAGGTGCGCGCGGGGGAGGGGCAGAGAGAGTCCAGCAGACTGTGCACTGAGCGCTGAGCTCAATCTTACAACACCAAGATCATGACCGGAGCCCAAACTGAGAGTCTAGACGCCCAACCAAATGAGCCACCCAGGTGCCCCTGCTATAATTTTTTATAAACATTTTCATTGAGATAGTTCACCTACTGTAAGGTTCCCTCACTTAAAGTCTACAATTCAGTGATTTTTAATACATTCACAGATAGGTACAACTATCACCAGTTTCAGAACTAAAATTTTTATGACGTCAAGAATCTGTGCCGTTTAGCTCTATCATCCTTATCCCTCTAGTTCTAAGCAACCCTTAATCTAACCTCAGTCTCTATATTTCCCTGTTCTGTACAAGTCATGTGAATGGGATTAGTCTTTTGTGACTGGCTTCTTCAATTTAGCATAATGTTTTCAAGGTCCATCCATGTTGTAGCATACACCAAAATTTCATTTCTTTGTGAATGGTTACTATCGCATTGTATGGATATACACATTTTGTTTAATCCATTGCTCAGTGGATGTTTGAGTCGTTCTGGCTTTCTCCACAGCCTTGTCCGCAGGATATAAAGCTGCTAGAGACACTCGCGTGTAAGTTTCTGTGTGGACGTATGGTTTTATTTCTCTTGGTTTACACCCAGGCTGAGACATAATAGTAACTAGTTTAATCGTTGGAGAAACTGACTTCCAAAGCCAGCTGTACCGTCTTCTGCTCCCCCTAGCCAGTGTACGACGGTTCCACTTTCTCCAATCCAATCCAGTTACCTGACTTTACTATAGCTGTTCTGGGTGTGACGTGGTGCCATATGGTTTTGAATTGCAGTTCCCTGATGACTAAGGACGTCATGTATCTTTTTTCGTATTATTATCCATGAATGTATCCTCCTTAAATGTCTATTCAGATCTCTTACTCATTTTTTAAATTGGATTATCTTTTTACATTGAGTTCTTCTGGATACCGTTCCTTATTAGATGTATGATTTGCAAATTTTCTCTCATTCTATGGGCTGTCTTTTCACTTTCTTGATGGTGTCCTTTGAAGAACGAACATTTTTAATTTTAATGAAGTCTTACTTTTTTTTTTTTTTTTTTTAAACTCATGCTTTTGGTGTTCTGAGACTTCTTTGCCCAATCCAAGGTCAGGGATGTCTACTCCTGTGTGTTCTCTTGTACTAATAGCTCTTACATTTAGGTCTTTGGTCCATTTTGTGTTAATTTTTGCATATGGTATGAGGCAAGGGTCCAAGTTCATTGTTTTTGCATGTAGCTATCAAGTTTTTCCAGGACCGCTTCTTGCAAAGGCTATTTTTTCCCCATTTTGGCAGCCTTGATGAAAATCAGTTGGCCACGGAGGCCTGGGATGAGTTCTAGACTCTCCATTTCATTACATACATCTGTATGTCTATCATTGTGCCCATATCACGCTGCCTTGGTCACTGTTTGGTTTGCACTAAGTTGTGAGATTGGGAATTGTGAATCCTTTGTTCTTTTTCAAGATGGTTTTGGCTATTCTGGGTGCCTTCTAGTTGCATGGACATTTTACCATCAGCTTGTCAATTTCTACAGAGAATCAGGTAGGATTCTGATAGAGATTTCACTGAATTTGTACATCAGTTTGGTGATTGTTACCATCATAACAATGCTAAGTCTTCTGATCTATGAATGTAGGGTGTTTTCCAATTTTTAGATAATCTTTAGTTTCATTCAACAATGTTTTGTAGTATTCAGAAGATATATTTTGTACTCCTTTTGTTAACTATTCCTGAGTATTTTGTTCCTTTTGATACTATCAGAAATTGAATTTTTCCATTTCATTTTCAGATTGTTCAAGTGTATATAATTGATTTTTGTGTATTGATCTTGTATTTTACAACCTTACTGAACTAATTTATCAGTTCTGATAGTTTTTTTTAGTGAATTCCTTAGGATTTTCTATATACTAGATCATGTCATCTGCAAAGAGATCATTTTATTTCTTCTTTTCCTATCTAGATGCTTTTTATTTCTTTTTTCCTACCTATTTGTCCTGGCTAGACCCTCCAATACAATACTGAATAGAAGTGTTGAGAGTAGAAATCTCTAGGATATTAATTATGGGTTTTTCGTAGATGCCCTTTATCTGAAGAAGTTCCATTCTATTTCTTGATTTCTTACGTGTTTTTATCATGAAAAGGTGTTGGATTTTGTTAAGTGCATTTTCTACATCTATTGAGATGATATGTGATTTTGGTTTTCATTCTCTTATTACATGAAGTCATTATTTTAAAGTATACTTGAGATTTATTTTAATCGAGTATAGTAAGGTGATAGACACAGAAACAACTGCCTTAAAATTTCCAAGAGAATGGAGCATGACACACAGAGCCCCATGGGGAAGTATTAAGGTCAGTCAGAAGTCAGAAGGAGCACAGCCCACAGCCTTGGTTTCTGCAGGAAGGAATGGGCAAGGCATAGTGGGTGAGTTTGAGCACTTTTAGAATTAAATAGTTTGAGTAATTCCAGGGCTCTGGGCTAGAGAGGTGGTCTCTAATTGTCAGGTACCTGGCCCTGGGGTGATTTTGGGCGAGGGAAATAATTGGCTTGGTGTGTGAGAGTTAAGTAAAGGAGGTGCCTGGGAGATGGACTTGGGATATGGACTTTGGGTGGTTGGTTTACATGAAAGGCAAGTTGTTTACTATCTCTAGGGATTCATTAGCCCTGGAGGGCCAGTCTCTCTAGGCCCCAGGATGTCAATACATTATCAAATATAGCAAATAGAAAATATGATTAATACAATCATTTTCAGATGTTAAACCAACCTTACATCCTTGGGATAAATCCCGATCGGTCAGGGTGGACAATTCTTTTTACATGTTGCTGGATTTGGTTTGCTAATAATTTATTGAGGATTCTTGCATCCATATTCATAAGAGATATTGGTCTGCATTTCCATTTTCTTGTGATGTCTTTGTCTGGATTTGGTATCAGGGTAACACTGCCTTCATAAAAGCAGGTTTGAGTATTCCCTCTTCTATTTTTGGCAGAGTTTATGAAGAATTGGTATTCTTTAAATTTTTGGTAGAATCAGCCTTCACACCAAACCCTCTAGTCTTTTTTCTTTTTTCTTTTTCTTTTTTTTTCTACTTCAATCTCTTCACTTGTTATAGGTCAATTCAGATTGTCTATTTCTTGAGTCAGTTTCAGGAATTCTGTATCTAAGAATTTGCCCATTTAACCTAAATTATCTAATTTATTGGTACCCAACTGTCCATCGTCTCCATTATAATCCTTTTTTTTTTCTCTAATCATGGTCCCTGGGTCCGGGGGCAGGGACAGTGCAAGCTGCTTCCTGTTTTAGAAGCCCAGCATTTGGTGAGTGTGGAAAAGCAGCCTGAGATCCTCTCAGCTTATCTGCCCTGGCATGGACACCCCCCAGGGGCTGGAGCAAGCACGGCCAGCAGCCTCGTATTCTCAGTGGGATGCACCCGAAGTAGAGCCTCCACTGCATGCGTGGGTGCTGGGTAGAAGAAGGAATCCCACCTCTCACCAAGTCTCTCGCAGGAGGTGAGGGTAGGATGTGAAATGCTGGTATCCTGCTCCTGGAATCTGGGGAGAGAGGCAGCCTTGCGGCATTGGCTGCAGCAGGCTGGAGTAGTCTCCACCTGGCTGAGTGGGCAGGAGAGGGGAAGGGAATGGTCTTGCTTCAAATACCAGACTCGACTCTCTAAACAACTGTGGTACTTTTCCTTGAAGAGATGTTTTGTCATTGGCTGTCTGCCCGGAGGACCTTTTCCAGAGTACTGAAATGGTTGGTTGTTTTTCCATTTTCATTTTTTTCATGAATAATTTTCACCAGTTCCACTGGGGAGCGAAACAGGGAAGTTCTCTGTTGCTATAGCTATTGCTATTAGCATAGCTGGGTGTTAGGCTATTCTCAGAAAATTAACATCACTAGAGACAAGCCTTTCAACAATTCTGAGGGGGTACAAGAGCCACTGCTTGTCATTAACAGCTGCTAAGAATAACAGAGAACAAAATGAATAAATGGTAAGTACCCGACTTAATTTTTTATGAGGTATGTCTCAAGACTTGCAAAATAACTTGGATGACAAAGAAAAACTACAATGATTAACTCTGAATTTGCAATTTGACTATAGAGAGAGAAGACTTCTGGGAGCAAATGTGTGATTTCCATGCATTCCAGGACCACCACAACCATACAAGACCCTAAGAATCCAGAATATAGGAAGACATTTATTTTTGACCTGGCATATTGGTCTCACGATGGATTTCAAAAGGATCAAGATGGTGTGTTTATTTCAGCTGATCCTAGCAGTCAATTTGCAAGCCAGGTAAATTGCCTTAAAACACAACTTGAAAGGAAAGGTGTTTGTTTTTTTTTTAATGAAGTGTTACCAGTAGAACAGTACAACTTTTTAATGCAGGCATGCTATGATATATACTTCCATTTGAGAGTTTGATTTTAAATTTATTCCTTTTTCATGTTAAACATGAGGTCCCAAAGTACAGCTATTGCCTAAATAATTTTTAGGAACTCAGATCAATTGATTTGCCAATATACTGCCATATTTTGAAAAAGAAGTGTCAGTCAAATCAATTATATTTTCCCTTTCTGAAATAAGCAAAATTTGTGACGCACGCAGCCTTTGAGAACTCTTGTTTTCTCAAGTATTTGTCACATGCCAAGCATTATTCCATCTTAAAGTTGCCCACAACTTGGTATGGGGGGACAGGCAAGTAAGTGCATTCAGAAATGTTCCATATTCTGGGATAAGAATACAGGAAATGATGGAGTACAGTGGAGAGGAGGTCATTGCAATCTGGACAAAGCTCATTAAGTTTCTTGGATCTGGGTGTGTATAGTTTCAATAAAATTTGGAAAAATTTCAATCATCATTTCTTCAAATATCTTTTGCCCCCTCCCCATCTTATTCATTCTGTGATTCCAACTGATCTCGTCCCACAGGTCACTGAGGCTCTGTTCATTTCCCCCAAAACTTTTCTCAATATTCTTCTTGTCTGCCTATTTGTCCTCCAAACTCAGCTGAAAACTTACAGCTTTTATTAAACCACTCCTAAAAATACCCCCTGTCAAATAGTTCTGACTTCACAAACTCACTAAAAGGATCTCACGGACCCTGTAATGCACTTTGATAACCACCGTCCCAGAGTAATCAATTTAAAAAATCAAACAAAATTGTAACTCATCAGTCAATTGTGGGAAAATGGGAAAAGACGGGAAAAGTAAAAAGGAGACGGGAGAAGTAGAATACAAATAGCGAGCTGGTAAATTTCATGCCAGCAACGTCAGTTAGTACAGCAAATGTTAAATAGACGTGCCAACTACAAGTCAGAAATGATCAGATATCATCGGAAAAGCGTGACCCAACTCCGTCTGTCTAGGAAACCCAATTTAAATATGGACACTTCGTGTAAACCCTATGAAAAAAAAAAACTAGAGAAGCCATATTTACATCACATAAAGTAGACTTCAGCACAAGAAACATTCCATAATGATAATTTATTAAGGAAACATACCATCCTAAATGAGTATGTACATAATAATAGAATTTCAAAGTACATGAAGCAGAAACTACTAGAAATTGAGGAAGAAATAGACAAATCTACAACTGTCATTAGTGATTTCATCACTCCTCTCTGAGTAATGGATAGAGCAAATAATCAGTACTATATAGAAAACTAGATCCACACCATCAGCCTGACCACTGTGTAATAGAGAACACTTTTGCTGCCCACCACCCAACCATAGCACAACACATCCTTTATATGTGAACGTGAAACTTCCATTACAATAGACCATATTCCAGATCATAAAACTAGTCTCAATAATGTGAAATAACCGAAATCATACAAAGTATGTTCTCTGACCACCAAACTAGAAAGAAATGAAAGATCTTTGGAAAATCCACAAATATTTAGAAAATAACAGACTTCTAAATAATCCATAGGTCAAGGAATAAACCATAAACAAAATTAGTAAATACTTTGAATAAGAAATTTAGGGGAGGCTGGGCAGCTCAGTTGGTGAAGCGTCTGCCTTTGACTTGGGTCATGATCTCAGGGCCCTGGGATTGAGCCCCACCGTGGGCTCCCTGCTCAACGGGGAGTCTGCTTCTCCCTCTCCCTCTCCCCGCCCCCATAATCTCTCTCTCAAATAAATAAATAAAATCTTAAAAACAAAAATTTAAAAATTTACCAAAATTTGTGGGCCACAGCTAAAGGAGAGGCTTAGAGAAATTATATAGCATTAAGTTATTGGAGAAGCACAGTCTCAAGTCAACATTCTAGTCTTCCATCTAAGAATTTAGAAAAAGAGAGCAAATTAACACAAAGCAAGCAGAGGAAGAAATAAGAAAGAACAATAATTAATGCAAAATAGTAAAATAATAGGAAAATTGATGAAACTCAAAGCTAAATTCTTTCAAAAGATCAATGAAATTGAACCTCTAGCCAAATCAATCAGGAAAAAAAGATACAAAGTACAAAAATAAGAAATGAGCCATCACGGCAGAGTTTATAGACATTTAAAAAAAACAAAAAACAAAAAATAAATAAATAAAAAGAAGGGAAAATTATGAAAAACTTATCGCTGATACATTCAACAGGTTAGATGAAATGACACAGTTACTGAAGGTCACAGCAAAACAGAGATAATTCAAGTAGCCCAAAAGAAGTTGAATTTATAGTTAAAAACCTTCTCACAAAGAAAACTCTAGGCCCAGATGCCTTTGCTGTGAATTCTATCAAAGGAAGAAATAATGAGAATTCTTAAAAAAAAAAAAAAAATCCTAGAGCTGAGAGAAGAAGGAACATTCATTTTTTGAGGCCAATATTACACCAAAACCAGCCAAAGATTATAAAAACACTACAGACCAATATCCATCATGAACATAGACAAAAAAATTAGCAAAATTTCAGCAAATAAATTCCAACAATATATTTTAAAAACAATAAATTTCTATCAAGTGGGACTTTTCCTGGGAATGTAAGATTGGTTTAATATTTGAATATCTATGTAATTCATCATATGATCAGAATCTGGGGGGGGCATATATGGTCAGAAAAAGCATGTGACAAAATTCAACACCCAATCAAAATTAAAACTCTCAGCAAACTTAAAATACGAGAGAACTTCCTGAAATACATGGGTAAAATCATATTTGATAGTGAAAGGCTGAATGTGTTCCCCCTAAGACTGGGAACAAGGTAAGAAGGGCCGATCTCACCATCTCTATACAACATTTACTGCAGGTCCTAGCCAGGGCAAGAAGGTAATTAATAGAAAATGAATGATATGCAGATAAAAAAAGGAATAAGTAAAACTATTTGTACATGCCATCATTATCTATGTAAAAAATCCTGAGAAATCAACAACAAAAAGGCCACTACAGTTCATGAGTGTGTTAGCAAAGTCAATATACAAAAATCAATAGTATTTCTCAATACTAGCAGTCAACAATTGGAAATTGAAACTGTGAAACATTTACAACACCAAAAATATGAAATACTTTAAGAATAAATTTAACGAAACACATGCAAAAGCTGTCCACTATAAAACATTACTGAAAGGAAGACATTCATGCATTAGAAGGCTCAATATTATTATTTTTTTTAAAGATTTTATTTATTTATTTGAGAGAGAGAGCATGAGAGGGGGGAGGGTCAGAGGGAGAAGCAGACTCCCTGCCGAGCAGGGAGCCCAATGCGGGACTCGATCCTGGGACTCCAGGATCATGACCTGAGCCGAAGGCAGTCGCTTAACCAACTGAGCCACCCAGGCGCCCGAAGGCTCAATATTATTAAGAATTCAAATTTATCAATCAATTCAAAGCAATCCCAACCAAAATCCCAGCAGTAAGGTTTTGAAGCATTGATAAGCTATTTCGATAATTTACATGGAATTGTAAGGGACTTAGAATAGCAAAAATTATTATTTTTTAAAAGATTTATTTATTTACTTACTTAACCTACTTATGAGAGAGAGAGAAAGTGGGGAGGGGAGCAGAGGGAGAGGGACAAGCAGACTCCATGCACTGAGTGCAGAGCCCAATGTGGGGCTCGATTCCACCACCCTGACATCATGACCTGAGCCAAAATCAAGAGTTGGACACTCAACTGACTGAGCCACCCAGGCCCCCCAACAGCCAAAATTAATTTGAAAGACCCTGAAACCTGAATAATTTAAAACCCACTAGACAGCTTCAGTAGTCAAGACAGAGTGGTATTGGCTAAAAGATAGAGATACAGATCAATGGAACAGAATGAAATATCTAGAAATCGATCTTCGTATATTGTCATTTTTTTTTATGATGGTACTGTAATGTGCAAAATCTATATCCACTTAATACCTTAGAATGTAACCATATTTGGAAATAAGATATTTGCAGAAGTAATTAGGTAATAATGAGGCCATACTGGATTAGAGTGGACCCAAAATCCAATTCTTGTAAGATGAGGGAAATTTGGACATACAGGGAGAATGCCATGTGACTATGAAAGTAGAGATTGGAGTGATATTGCTATGAGCCAAGGAATGCCAAGGAATGCTGGGAGTCACCAGAAGCTGGGAAGAGGTAGGAAGGATTCTTCCCTAGAGCCTTCAGAGAGAGTGTAGCCTTGCCAGCAGCTTGATTTTGGACTTTCAGCCTTCGGAATCATGAGAGAATAATCTTCTATTGTTTTTAGTCACCCATTTTGTAGTAATTTGCTATGGCAGTCCTAGAAAACTAATACTGGTGACAAGGTTCTTCAAATTAAAGCCTTTCAACAAATGATGCTGGAGTAATTAGATATCCATGCGGAAAAGCATGACTTTTTATCCTTTCCTCACACCATATAAAAATGAAGTCAGAATGGATCATAGACCTAACTGTTAGAGCTAAAATTATAAAACCTCTAAAAGAAAGAAGAAAATGTCGGTGATAGCTGATTTGAAAGATATCTTACGCAAGACACAAACCTTAAAAAAATATTTTTTAAGTTCAAGTACAATTATAATAAAAGAAAATAATAAATGAGACTCATAAAAAAAAAAAGCTTTTGCTTTTTAAGACATCCCAGGAAGAGCATGAAAAGGCAAGCCACAAAGAAGGAAAATATTTACAAAACCGAAAAATATCTAAAATATACAATGAATTCTTATACTTAATATTAAAAAGGAAAATCAAGTTTTTAAGGGAAAAGATTTGATCAGAGGCTTCATTAATATAGATATGAAAAACCAATGAAAAACTGTCAAACTTTATTTATTTAGTTATTAGGGAAATGCAAGTTAATACCACAATGACAAAAATGACAAAGATGACAGAGA